TGTGTATATATGTGTGTGTATATATATATATGTGTGTATATATGTGTGTGTATATATATATATGTGTGTATATGTGTGTATATATATATATATGTGTATATATGTGTATATATATATATGTATATGTGTATATATATATGTGTATATATATATGTGTATGTGTATATATATGTGTATGTGTATATATATGTGTATATATGTATGTATGTGTATATATATGTATATATATGTGTGTATATATGTGTATATATATATGTATGTGTATATATATGTATATATGTGTATATATATGTGTATATATATGTGTATATATATATATGTATATATACTGTATGTGTATATATGTGTGTATATGTGTGTATATATATGTGTGTATATATATGTATATATATGTATATATATGTGTGTGTATATATGTGTATATATATATATATATATATATGTATATATGTGTATATATGTATATATGTATGTGTGTGTGTGTCATGTGGTCCTATTTTCTTCAGTGCATTTTGCAATGTGTGTTGTCTTTGGCAGTCATACTAATTTGCATTGTTTCCTTGTGTGACTGATAGAATAATGTGACAGTGATTAATCTGCAGGATTATTTATTCCCATGCTTTTCCAGTCTAGAGGAGGCATGAGGCAGGTCAGACTCAGACTGGCCGCCTGTCGGATGATCCCGCATGGGGAAATGACGTCAGACCTTCCCGGAGGCGAATGGAACGTCTCTCCAACCAGACATGTGAACGTCTGTGTCTCACACTTGTTCCTCCTTTTTAAAACAATATGTTCCTACACTTGTGTGTGTGTGTGTGTGTGTGTGCGTGTTCTTGCACAGCCAGTGTGTAATAAAACACATATTCATCTGCACCCAACAGAAAGCTGGAACTGACTTGCTGAGAGCAGAACAGGAAGTGGAGGAGGAGGAGGGGGATGTTCAGGAAGAAGATCATCTCTTCACTAGTCAACATGAATGTCCCCTCATTCAGCAGAAGGTTAATGATTACCCACAGTGCAGCAGACTTCATGCCGTATGCGTACTGTTGGGATCAGCAAAACTCCATCTTTGTTCTCTTTAGTGGTATCAGTCTGTACATCCATAGTACTTCTGGGAGCTTATCAGAATCAGCTTTATTGGCCAAGTATGTGTACACATGCATGGGATTTGATTTTCATTGCTCTCAAAAGTACTTTCTTTGTCATCAGGTAGTAAAAGCCCTTTTAGACCAGATGTCACGTGAGTTATTAGGAGTAGCTCTGTCCCAGTTCTTCCTTTCCAAATGACACAGTCCAGCAGCACAGCACCAAACGCTTAATAAAAACAGTTTTCAGGTGTCTCTCGTCAACTCATAAACCAGAACAGCTCCAACTTTATGACCTTGATATTGCCTTTAAACAGCTGACAGAATGTCACAGAGTGCATCACTGGGACATGTTCCATTTATACCGGAGTTTAGGTTGTGATGTTTCACTTCAACACATGACTGATGACATGATGGCAGTAAACAAGGTTGATGGTTATATATTCCTATAACTTCCATTTCCCTCTGAGGCCTTGTAGTTCACTACATGTCCAGGATACTAACAAGGAACAACAACAACAACAATAAGATGTGCAATTAAGTGTTCAATAAAACAGCTGGACACTGTAGTTTTTACAAGGGCAGTACAGAATGTCATGCTTTTTGACATTCAAAGCTTCTATTTAGGTTCATGAGGCAATCACTCTAAAAAAGATAGAAAGAGACGTAACAATATGATTTGTTGACAATAAGAAAAATATAGAGCATCACCAGACTTTTAGCGAGCTTGAAGATTTCCATAAATGTTTTTTCATCTGACCATTTTTTGACTGTTTGTTTCAGGTGAATGGACCTATGTTGTGGGATTCTGAGAAATCGCAGCCTCCTGCTTTCCAGTCCAACATCAGAGTCCCACAGGAGGACCTGTGGCCTCTGACTGACCAAGAAGAACTGAAACGACAGGTAGACATCAGCAGACATGTGCATGAAGCTTTGACTTTACGTGTTGGAAGCCCTGTCCCGTCAGACCAAATGTTACAAATAGCACATCTCTCTCTCTCTCTCTCTCTCTCTCTCTCTCTCTCTCTCTCTCTCTGCAGCGCCAGTCTCAGTTCCTGATGCACCGCCGTCTGTACATGAACAATGAGAGAGAGCAAGTGAAGGAGAACAAACAGAACAGGAAACACCTGAAGAAGACGGCAAGGTGACGAGGCCACAGGGTTTTGTCCTAAATCACTTCATCCTATTGGTGTGATTAGAATTAATCAACAAGTACCAACAATCTGTACCTTTGATAGCTGTTAGGTTGTTTTTTTAATCAGATTTAAGTCATTTATAATGCACAACAGTGGTGACAAGTCTGGCTCAATACTCTATTTCTCTGTATAACTCACAGACTAAACTAAAATAGTGTCACACGAATGTAAATTACAAGTGATTCTTCAGCCTTAGTCTCCTCTAAAATGGCCCCGTCTCCACTGAAGGATCAAAGCCGAGAAAGAACATATTCGTCTGGAGGAAGAGAGGAAGTTGGAGAGAGTCCGGCGCGTCGCGGAGGCCAAACAGAAGCTGGAGGAGAGAGAGCTGCTGATTCTGGAGCGTCTGAAGCTTGAGGAGGAGGAGGAGAGAGATGTGCAGCTGCAGAGAAGGAAACGAGAGGAGAAACCCAAATCAGCTGGAAGGTAATTAATGAAGACCAATTTGCCAAAGCTTAAAGACAAACTCTACTCATTTTACACATGAAAGTGCTCATAATCAGTTATTTTATGGTGAGCTTCTTGTGACACCAGAGAAGATGAACACATATAGTTCAGTACGGTGAACTGTGGATCACCTTTGCCCAAATGAGCTGAACTTCATGTACACACTCACAAAGAGCAGGTGTCTTAATGAAACTGATGAACAGACTTGATTGTAACTCTCGTCAGGTTCATTGAGGCTCTTAAAGCTCAGATGAAGGAGCGACTGTCTCAGGAGGAGTTGGAGCCTCCTCCTCTCTGCTGCTGCGCGTCGTCTTTCTGGGACTCCCACCCCGACACCTGCGCCAACAACTGTGTCTTCCACAACAATCCCAAAGGTACGTGCTGCACACCACCGCCGAGATTCAGTGGGACTGATCGTGAAAACAATAAAAAACACTGACGGTAGCATTTGTCTCCTCCACAGCGTATGTCAAGGCCTTACATTCAACAATGCTGAGTCTGGAGTTACAGTAAAGGAAGCCGATGAACTGAACTCCCTCCTGTGTGTTTTCAAAGGAACAGTCCAATATTTTGGGAAAACCAGCGTAAGTTGTCAAACCCAGAGTCCGATGAGAAGACTGATGTCTGTTTCATCTCCGTCCAGGATGTGTAAATGTGAGATGGATTGCAATGACATTTCGTCCAGGCATTCATGTTTTCCACAAGATAAATGCAACTGATGGTGATAATTTCATGACTATGAAAGACAATGATTTAATCTGTATCATTAAAGGGCCATAGTGCTGCTGCATGTTCTTAGACGATTTACTAAAAAACATAAAAAATCTAAACAATCAAATGCATTTTCAGCGTCTAAAGAAGTTGTGGGTGAGGTGCATATGAGATCAAAAGCATGAATAATGTACAAGAATTGTCTGGTATTATCTGTAACATGTCTGTTTTTGTAGAAAATAAAAACGAGATGTATATGTGTCCAGAACATTCACCGTTTGTGTGTAAAGCATTCACAGATGTACACATTTTTAACAATAAAGAACTGAATGCAACAAGTGAACTAGGTGAAAACAATCCTCTCTTAAAAGATGTGAGACAGAGACAGAAAATCTTTAATTGTAAAGATAAAGATTTTTGTCTAACTTTGTGAATAAAAAATTCTGATGTTTTCAACTATTCACTTATCTCCTTTCTAATCCTTTTTTGTTCTTTAATGAGGAAGGAATTCAGTTGAAGCCAACTTGATTTCCAAACTCATTTAAAGGAGCCTCAGACAGAAAGCTTTTGACCCATGACCCAGACTTGTCACATTCCTGGAAAACCCCTGTAGATAAGAAGGAATTGAATTGTCCCAGCTACCTTAACAATGCCGATAGGTTTCCGTGAAAGATGGTAGGCCGTGTAGAAGAGGAAGGTGAGGAAAAGAATATAACCACGATGCCTGCAAAAAACAAGATGACATAATAAATGTAGGCCACGTCAACGTTCTTCAGAGTTGCGCCTAAAAAATGTAATTTTTCAATATTTTTTAATTTAATGTCACTTAGTATTTATTCTTAATAAGAACCAGTGTGTAATACGAGGATTTTATAGAACATGAAGCATTGCTGTAGATTAAACTACCAACAGTCTATAAAGGAGTTCAAATAAGCACAACCTTAAATATCTACAGCTGTAAAATGCAACATGCATATTTATGCAGCAGTAATATTAATCCAGAAACGTCATATATAATAGTAAAATACTGACAGGGAACACTTTAACATTTTTCTGCAGCAGAAGACGTGTTTTTCCAACGGTGGAAGAAGTACTCAAATATTTTACTTTAGTCAGAATATAACACCACCATAATGAAATTCCTTCATTCAAAATGTTTGTTATAGTAAAAGAACAAACGGTTGGCATCAAAATATACTAACTAACATCAGTGTTATGTACGTTTTTGTTGTTTTATGATCAAAACGTGCAAGCACGATTATGCATGTTTGTTGTTTTCTTGCCCTATCAAGCACATTGCAACCCTTGTTTTGGAAATGTACCATATTTAGTTTTTGTTATTGTTATTATTGTTTTAAATTATTGTTACAATTATTATTATGACATTTAAAAGGGGTCCCGACCCTCACATTGTGAACCACTAGGGGCTCCCTCCTCACACTCAGCTGTTTCCTGTGACGTCAGTGGAGGTGGGGGGGGGGGGGGGGGGGGATCACGTGGCCACCGGGAGTCTCCGTCTGGAAAGTCTTACACATTTATAGGCTGATAATAATATTATATTTATCACAACGGACGCCTTTTTTTCTGAACTCAAACGTGGAGGTAGGCTGGCTCTCCGGACCCCGGTGCGTAATATAAACCTCACAGCCGGCACAGTATGGAGAAGTGCGGGATGTTTACGCACTCGTTATCCCACCAAGAAGCTGCACTATTGCTGCTTTGTTGTTGTAGTTAGCACCTGGCGTCTACTTTATAAATCTGTGGATAACGTTAGGCAGTACTAAACAAGTGAGTCTCTAACCCGGTAATAAACACCCGGTGAGTTGGCTCCAAACATTCCAGCTGTGCCTTTTTTAATTGTCTTGATACCAGTAACTTACTCCCGAGGACATGCTCCGAATCTGAGTGTGTTTTGGGTGTTCAAAGTGTGACACAATTTTCAACGAACAATGAAGTCGCCCCTGGCTCCCGGAATACGATTTGTCACGTCCTTTTCTCGGGATAGTTGGTAAGTTTCCATTATTTCATTCCTTTTGTTCTCCGCACCCCACGCACAGCCAGTTAATGGCATCTTCGTTACTACTGTTGCTCTTTATGTTGTGTTTGTTATCTCCCCTTTGCTGTAAATGATTGGCGTAGCCGCGTAGATAAACACACATTCTGTGAATTTGTAATGGGTTCATGTAAACCAAGTGTTTACTATATAAATACTTACAATTATATAATCCTACTACAGGTTACAAACGCGTTATTACTGCTCGTTTTCGTTCATATGTCCACCAGACACGTTTGGGAGTCAAGTACCTCCAAACTCCATTCAAAAATGCAGGCATTTCTGAGCTTCCTCTCTCATTGACACATATTTGACCTTTTAACAAATCGATGCGGTCGTCGACGAATCCTTATATTTCAGGAATTTAGAAAACGACATGAGACACTTTATTTTCATAACCTCTCAGTGTCTTATATCACTTCTCAATGCGGGGATCATTTGTTGCCTTTTTGCAGGTTTTACAGCAATCAAGTACACAATGGTCCAGCAGTTTAGTAAAAGAAAACAAAAACATCCACACCAGGAAAAATACATAAAGTTATGAGAAATGATAAACGTAAGATAATTACTTTGTGTGTTGTAACTATGACTTACTATACTACTATGGCTAAGTCCGAATAATAAAACAGTGCCATAACTATGAGATAATCTGAGCAGATCTGCAAAGAATTACTTTTCTTATCAATAAATTAGACGATCATTTCCTCAAACTTCATATTTTCCCAAAGCCCAAAGGGATGTATTCAAATTTCTTTTTTTTCAACAGTTCAAAAATCAAATAGTTTTTAATTTACTATATTATTACACAGGAAAAAGCATCAAATCCACGTATTTAAGAATCTGAACCATCAAGTGTTTGCAATTTTTGCTTAAAAATATTAAATATAAAAATAGTATTGCCAGCTGCCTGTTTGTTGCAAAAATACTTGTGAGTAATGAATATTCTGTGTTAATTGAAACTCACAATGCCATGCCATCTTTCTATTGTATGTGATAAGAAAAATATAATAAAAGCCAAAGAAGGCAGACATTGAGCAGTCATTACACTTGGATGTTCCATAAACACTGATCTACCCGTCAGTAAGGTACTCGTCTACAATCGAATGCATACAAATGCAACAGCCCTGCAATAAGTCATGTTTTTGTGAAGTTTATAATGCTAGCAGTAGCAATACAACAATGTAAAAATACTCCAGTAAAAAACAAAGTACATTTTAATACACTTATGTAAAAGTACAGACTTATTGTGTCGGCTCAATGTAGTTTCTGTAGTAGTAATTGAAGTATTAAACGTAAACTGGCCCCTGTGGCTGATACATTAATGGACATTATTAAAATAATACTGATTCATTAATCTTTATGTAACATTTTATCTTTGTAGCTGCATCCCCAACCTAGGGGCCGGGCCCCTCCAAAAGGGTCCCAAGATAAACCTGAGTGGTCATGAGATGATTAATCGTGTATAGAGGAAAAAACATATATGAAACATTTACAGATATATGAAACATAAATCTGTGTTAGATAGGGACCAAAGGTTTAATCTTTACCAGTGCATTGTATTTTCAAAGCTTATCATATTTATATATTATATACTGACAGCAGATATGGCAAAACTTGATGTGTTTCTAATATTTTATCATAGTTTATAAGCACTAGACAGATGTTATCACACACATGTGCCACCTTATGCTGCCGATATCAGCTGTGTAATTGAGGGATAAATATTTTACTAATATTCATTTTATTAATATTTGACTTCTACCAATAAATGTGTGTAGTTGTTAACTCTCTGATACCACCCAGATGAAGACAGTTGATCCATGACATGCTGGCAGCAGTTTGCTTTATTACGTCAGTGGAATGTTTTGAACATGTAAATATTTCTTATTTTTTGTGTTCTCACAGTATTTTGTATTTCTGTAAAGGCTCTTGTTTTATGACAGCAAGAGTTCATGTCATTTTATAAAAGATCAACAAGCAACATCAAGTCAACAAGATCTCCACGTTTGCGTTATTTCTCATTTTGTTTCACAATGTGCAGCATTATAATTAGTTATAACTTTTCCATCAATTATTTTTGTCTCATCAGAAAGACTTTGCTTTATTATGTCATCTTGTTTTTTGCAGGTATCGTGGTTATACTCTCTTCCTCACCTTCCTCTTCTACACGGCCTACCATCTTTCTCGGAAACCTATCAGCATTGTTAAGGTAGCTGGAACAATTCATTTCCTTCTTATCTGCAGGGTTTTTGCAGGAACATGACAAGTCTGGGTCATGGGTCAAAAGCTGCCTGTGAGACGCTCTTTTTTATGCTTTTTAGTAAATCATCTCAGAACATGCAGCAGCACTATGGCCCTTTAATGATACAGATTAAATCAAATGATTCATACAATTTAAAGATTAAATATAGAAACATGTTTTACTCAAATGTCTGCATTTACAAGTTCCTGCAGCCCCTGTATGATAATACCAATATCTATACTTATCTATCGCTTTATATGAGAGTTTTATGTGGGTCGTTTCACCTGCTTCCTATTATGTGTTTCTGTCTCAATTCAGAGTGAGCTGCACAGAAACTGTTCCTCAGTCAATCGGCCTGCAGACCTCAACATAACCAACAATGCTACTTGGTGTGACTGGGCGCCCTTTGGTAAGTCCTTTATTTGTTATCAACTTTGACACTTCACTTATGAGTAGATAATGCAGACTAGCACTGGGAAATTGTAGAAACTCCTTTGAGTGTGTACTATGTGTACTAACTCCAACTGAAACATCCATAATTCTAAATGATTACATGGAGAAAGCTAATAGCTTCATTTGTGTCGTCCCTCTAGACCAGGACAACTATCAGACACTGTTTGGGGTCTTGGATAACTCCTTCCTGGTTGCCTATGCCATCGGCATGTTTTTCAGGTTGGTATGTGCTGTTGCATATCGACATTATTATATTTGTGTGTGTTTTTGTGCTTTGTTGCGTCATAATCATTTCTTGTGTTAACAGTGGGATATTTGGAGAGCGCCTGCCTCTGCGGTACTACCTGAGTTTTGGGATGGTGATGAGCGGATTGTTCACATGTCTGTTTGGCCTCGGCTTCTACCTGAAAATCCACTCATTAGGGTACTACGCCGCCATCCAGGTAAAGACACAACATCACACAGTCGTACATTTTCTTTTGTTCCCTGAGCAGTTTTAAACACAGATAACCCCCTGACCTTTCCTCTAATGCCACCATCAGGACAGAATATGCACACAACAGATCGCTAAATCTAACTTCCAAATTTCCTTGAAATTCGCTTAAAAAAAAGCTTCAAAGCTCAATCTGTAAAATTTGGACCATTTAAACAATTCACATATATGATAAAAAAGTTATAGATTAAGATGCACATTTTTGCATTTCTTTGTAGATCTGTACATCAGGGAGCACAGTTATCTCAGCTTAGCATAAAGACTACAAGCAGTGCATCCTGTTTGTTTAAGCCGTACACAAACAGATGTAACTATGACACTTTGTGGAAGTTACGTAGAACAATTTCTTGGTGAACAACATCTGGGCCCAGTGACTTGATGGAGTCTTGTCATCACAGTGAGGTTGCCAGTTTTTGTACTATCATGCCTTTGCAGAGACCAAGAGCTGTGCTCGCTGACCATATCTGTCAACCCACACTATAGCTGGATATGAGCTGTTGTTCACCACAAAATAGTTACAGACCATAACTCAACCTTAAAACCATTTCAAAATGGACATTTTTACGTTTCTGTTTGTGTCCAGATCTTATTTCTCTTTCTGAAATGTTTAAACTATTCCCTTAACAATGTTAGTTTGTGTACCAAAAGATCTGCCTGTTATTTGCATTTCTTACTTCCGTTGTGGTACATGTACAGAATTAGGAATCTTTGAATATCTAAACAACCTCTCATCCATTTTGGCAGGCAGAACTACTGCATAAAACCAGCTGACATTAGGGGAGAAAGAGGGAAGCACAGAGATCAGATGAGCTGTTTATTGCTGACTCACCAACAAACGGACCATACCAACACACACACGGCAGGCTTCATTGATCTCCCTTGACTCTAGGAAATGAATGTTGGTCTCAGCGTGGATGCACACTCAGTACAAGTTAAGGCACAGTCACAAGAGTTTTGTTTCACTTCAGTTTTTTTTAGAAGACCCTTCGTCCAGTAATAACCACACACATCACCGTGCAGGTTTTTAGTCATGTGAGAGTTGGTTTACCTCAGGAACAAGTGAAGAAACCAGTTTTAGGACACAAGCTACTTTCCCTTCCTGTGTACAGTAATAATGCTGCAATTGCAGAAGTTATTATTTTCCTGTTTCTCTTCGTTTAGTCTCTAAAATGTCAAAAAAAAGTAAAAATAATGGCTGCCATAACTCCCCAGAGCTCAGGGTGCTGTCTGAAAATACCTTTTGTCTTATCAACATTCCAAAACCCAAAGATATTCCATTTGCAAAGATGAAAAGCAGAAAATCCTCATATTTGAGAAGCTGAAGCCAGAGAAGGTTTGATGTTTATTCTTGATAAATTACGCATTTAATTTATTTGTTTTAGAAGATTAATTTTCTGTTGTTCGACTTATCAATTAATCAACCAATGGTTTTGCCCCTACAGTGGTTTTATTGAATTTCAACATAAGTGTAATCGCAAGTGAGTGTGTTTCCCAAAAATATAACTTTTCAGACGGCGGCTCATCCACCTGTAATTGTCACTGTTTTTTCTTCCTTTTTTCTTTGGAAATGCTGTTAAAACCGCACTGACTGATCTCTGCATGTGCCATATTATTATGAAGTTTCTAGTTAGCGCGTGAATGCAAATACTGTTTTGTAGCTCTGAAGTGTCAGATGAGCCTCAGACATTCACGTGACCATTCCCTGGAGTCAAATTCCACAAGTGAATTCAACAGCGTTTCGTAAACTAAAATTATAAATTTAGCTCATTCTATAAATAATAACACGTCAAACTTAAACTCATTTGATTCATGAGTTTGTAAGAAAAAAAAAGTTCTCTTTGACTTAAGAGAACTCAAAATGCAATATCTGAGTCTGAGTTTACAAAGACTGCAACACCTTCATGAAGCAGTCAAGAAATCACGGCTTTATTGTGTCGATTAACAACCCTTTTACTCCATCACAGGTGTGATCACTGCGAGCTCTGTGGGTCAGTGCAGACTTTATTTATCATCTCCTCTGTTTAAAGACATGTAGAGATCTCATGGTGGCTTAGTCAGGCTTTCCTCACATCTATCACATGACTCACAGCTGCATTATATAACTGCAGCAGTGGGGCTTTTGTCGGTTTGGTGTGGGAATGTTAAGACTCAAGGCTCACTTGTCTCCTCTTATTCTCCTCCTTTGAATAAAGTTTGTAGGGTTACACAAGCTTTAAGAGACTTTGATGCAGTAAGCTAACACGGGCTGGTTTCTCCCTCTGCTTCATTCTGCAGGTCATGAACGGGCTCATGCAGACCACCGGTTGGCCTGCAGTGGTGGCTTGTGTCGGCAACTGGTTTGGAAAGGGGAAGTGAGTACTGCGCGATGAGCACCGGGCGTGCAGTCCTGCTGACTATGCAGCATTAGATGCTTATTCTTTTGTTGCTGGCTGACTCACACGTGCACATTTGTCATGATTTGTTTTTCTGAAATCCGCCTCTCTAGAGGGTGATGAGAATATCGTTAGTCTGGGCGCGGTTAGCTTAGTTCAGCTTAGCATGAAGACTGACAGTGTGGGGAAACAGCTTGCCTGACTCTGTCCGAAGTTCACAAATACATCTTCCAGCACCTCTAAAGCTTTGTGGTTAACACATTGTGTCTTTGTTTGTTTAATCCGCACACAAACAGAAATGTAAAATTTGTGGTTCTAGGAGAAGCTAGCTGTTGCCCCCTGGTTCTAGTGTTCACGCTTAGCTCAGGTAACGATGTCCTGACTCCAGCTCCGTACTCAACACACAAACATCATAATGATCTTAATCACACTATCAGAAAGAGAGTGAATAAGGGTCTTTCCTAGAATGTCGAACTACTACTTTAACAGGACATACGACCAATTGAGGAATTGCTCTTGTGTTTTGATCATCAGGCGTGGGTTCATCATGGGTGTGTGGAACTCCCACACCTCAGTGGGAAATATCTTGGGCTCCCTCATCGCGGGAGTCTTCGTGTCCTCGGAGTGGGGAATGTCCTTCATCGTCCCCGGACTCATTATCACCTGCACTGGGATCCTGTGCTTCTTCTTCCTGGTTGAGAGTAAGTTTCTGTTCAACAGTGAAACCCTCACTAAACTCTTTCACAGAGACAAAAACCCTCATGGTAGGTGTAGACAAATCTGCAGGTGCAGGATCCTGTTTGACTTGTTTGTAAAGCAAATGTTTTTGGCTGCTGTAACTTTAAAGGTGGGGTGTTTAACCGAGCTACAGTACAATTACCTTGTTCAAAGCTGAGTGAACTCTAGCTCTGTGTGGCAAAATATTTACAATAGAGATTTAAAAGATTGGTTATTAATTTCATCCCTCTGTACGGACTTAGGTGTGAGAATTTGTCATATTTACATGTTGTATCTTGTTGTTTTAAGATTACATCTCTTGTCAAACCTAAACGTTGCTTTTATGTTTGCATATTTTTCTCTCTCTTATTCAGAACCTGAACACGTCAACTGCACTTCTCCTCAACACTATGTGAGTAAAAGCAACAAACTTCCATCTACCTAATTCATTTTCATACAAATAATAAACTTAGTTGCATAACACCAGAAATGCAACACAAACTCAAAAGTATTTCGCTTCGAGTGCTCTCTCTACTAATCCTGTAACAAGACTGCTTGAACTCATGCATATTCTTTGTGTTTTCAGAGTGAAAAGGAGGGCGACGAGACAGAGTCTGTCACGAATAATGACATCGCCTACGGTTCCATCACCGCTGATCCGGCGGAGGTTGTTGTGGAGCACACAGAGGCCATCAGCTTCAGTGGCGCTCTCCGTATACCTGTGAGCGGAGACAACTCTTTTTAACCATCCAAATATCTTTTCATGTCTTTATTTGTATCGCAGGATGACCACAGCTCCAATTGGTTTAATATTTGCTCAGGCGCTGGAAGCATCAATGAGTCCAAACTGATAGAAAGGAAGTTTGCTCACTTGGATTCTTACAGTGTTTCACTTTATTTTGAGCTGTCAGTCAAACAGTTATGCAGCCGTTGTTTCGTCCAGTGAAAAAAATCAACAGCAGATCTTCTTTACGGCAGAAGTTTCATCCCGATACGATATTATATTGAGTCTTTGCACAACGATACAATATCTGCTCACAGTCTGCCGTGGTACAATTTTGATTAGAAACAACATCATATTCCAATTTAACCCAATCAGTTACATTTATATCAACTCACATAAAGCAACTTAAAAAAAAGAAAGTTGGTGACACAGACGTGCCATTGGAACTTTCAAAATGAAGGCGTATCTTAAAGATGATGTGTATTGATGTTTTCAGTTTGCATCGATGATAATGGATCGTTAATCATTGAATGGATATAACGACACCCCAAGGATACACCCCTAGTGAAAGAGACGAGACAGAGTAGGAGGGGAGGCAGTTGATTGTGAATTATAGCACTGCAACAATTAAGGCATTTTAAGATGATGATGTTTTAATGTCTCACTCAGGGAGTGGTGGAGTTCTCTCTCTGCCTGCTGTTTGCCAAGCTGGTCAGCTACACTTTCCTGTACTGGCTTCCTCTGTACATCTCCAACGTTGGTCAGTACTTACACACATACTTTATTCTTTTCCAATGAGGAGAATATCAGACTTCATACTTTGTAGTTTTATCCGCATAAATTAAAGTTGATTCATTTTTTTTAATTTTCAGCACACTTTGACGCAAAAGAGGCAGGAGACATGTCGACATTGTTTGATGTAGGAGGAATCGTGGGTAAGCATTAAGCCTCGACTGATCGGTCGTATGATTTGATCTGACAGGATTTCATTTTCCAACATGTTTATGACAAAAGAAATAGAAAGATAAACGTCAAATACAAAATATATGATGGAAATACATCTTGGCACTGTACTTTTGGTGTTCTCGGGAAGCAAATAAAGGCCTTAATAAACTTAATAACTTTAATCACAACTGAAAGATTTAAATATATATCATTGTGAAATTAAATCATTTAAATAGTTTACAATGCCGTCTATCTGAATTTGTTTGGTTTCAATCCCCCTCCGGACAGATTCATTCAATCCAGACTTGATTGCTCATCCTTAATAACTCAAATGTTGAAGTGCACATTTTTTAAATTTTATTTAGATGTTTGGATTTTGTCAGTCCAATTTCAGCAACCATGTTTTTATTTTTTGGCAGTTTGAGCACCTTGAATGTAGTTTTTAGGATATTGCACACTTTAATTTTCTCTGTGAATTACTTTTTAAAATTTAATTGGAACCACATGAATTCAGATGTTTTTTTAAAAGTAAAATATAAATTAGGTATAACAATAAAGTATAATATCAATGGCGTAGATTCCTTTGTATTTAACCCGTGTGCATCCTTTTAATACAGTTGCTCTGGGATACGTCAATGATGAGCAACAACATTGATTTTGATGTATTGCATCAAACATTGCAGTGCTCCATAATACAGCAGCAATGCCCCTAGTGGACACCAGGAAGATAACATGGATTTGCACCATAGGGAAAATATGAGAAAATGGCTTCATCTGGTGGAAAATAATAAATACTACAATTTTGAAGCCAGTGCTTTTGTCCGTCAGGGTCTGAGTGTCTGTATTTTGGCTGAACCGTTTATTAGAACTTTATTTTACTTACTTGAATGCGCTGTGTGTCAACAGGAGGCATCATGGCGGGCCTCGTGTCTGACTACACAGGTGGGCGAGCGACAACTTGCTGCGTCATGTTGCTCACTGCTGCCCCAATGGTGAGTGTCATCTAATAAATCTAAGTATTTTCATGACGGCACGTTCGCAGTTATACGCTACAGTTCAAAAGTTTGTGTTCTCCGGCCACAAAAGCTTGATTGTGTCCAGTCAGATATCTGAGCGGGCTACTCTGTATGTTTGAATGCAACACTGAAAGGCCATGGACTAAATGGAAGTTTCAATAATCTAATTCTCCTTCTTTTTGTGCTAAAACTATTTCAAGTGTAAATAATACATTTGGTGTCTGAATGATACTATTTTCATTTCTGTTAAAATAGTTATTATTGAAGGAAAGAAGAAAAACATCAGTATAACAGCTGATTCCAAACTCTTCAACGGTAGTCTAATGTAATGTAATGTAATGCTAGTGTGTGTGTGGATATAGCTGATAAAGGAAGAAAAAAGGACATACAAGCAGTAGACTGATATATGAACGTTGTTTTGTTTTGTTCATGTTCCAGCTTTACCTCTATAATTATATTGGACAAAGGAGCATCGGTACTACAGTCGGTAAGACACATTTGTTTTTTTCTCGCTAGAATGAGCCAAAGTTAAAAACCAAAACCTTATTGGATTTTTAGGAAAAAATGTATCATGCAAATGTGCGTTGGCAGTACAGTTAAGGGTGCATTTCACCCGTTGCAGGTGCAAAATCCTTATGTGAATTAGCCTCAAGAGTCTTTGGTTGCTGTGCTTGTGATGTTCGGAGCAGTCGAAGTTGGATCATCCTCTCCTTTACATTAACTTGACTTTCATTTCATTCATTCACCTTCACCACACCTGTCTGATGTGAATCTGAACTGAGTGCAGAGTAGTCCTGTTTAAATATACAAAAGTCGGCAGTCATCAGAAATGACTATGAAAGTCTTTCTATTGATATACAGTGTAGTTACTCTTTCATAACTGTTTGTTTTGCATTTTGCCATATGTAGGTATGCTGCTATTATGTGGAGGCCTGGTGAACGGACCATACGCCCTCATCACTACTGCTGTATCTGCTGACCTGGTAAGACCTGAAGCATCATGGGAAACCCCCTGTTTTATGCCCCCGTCGTCTGTCAACAAATCATCCGGCTAAAGCACGTCTGTTATGAAATAAACACAGTTTGAGGATCCTGACGACATGTAGTGGACATAGATTAAACATGTAAACCATGTTTTCTCTACTTACATTATCTCTTTTCACTGTTGGAATGTAACTAAGTACAGTTACTCAAGTACTGAACTACTAGGTACTTGTATGTCCATTTTATGCTACCATATACTTCTACTTCACTATTGTACTGTTTGCTCCGCTACATTTATCTGGCAGCTTTAATTACTTTGCAGTACATTGCGTAATTAATATGCACTCCACCTACTACAGCTGCAACATTAAAGTGGTGAGCACAATATTGCATCAATAATAATCCAGGAGTTTTACTTGTAACAGAGTATTTGTACATTGTTTTTTTTTTACTCAAGTGAAAGATCTGAGTACATCTCTCACCACTGTGTCTTTGTTGCAACAGGGAACACATGAGAGCCTGAGAGGAAACTCCAGGGCGTTGTCAACAGTGACGGCAATTATTGACGGGACTGGTTCAATAGGTATGTATGTATGGAGAGCTCTTTTAAGGCTGCTGGGGACCCAGGCCGTATTGCTGGGCCCGCTGGAGGGAAGGGAGGCACGGGAGAACCAGGACTGAGCGGGGTACACAGTCAGACCTCTGCTGCAGTAAAATGAAATGTTCTCGAGAGGGAATTTGGTGTTCGGAAACACTACCACTTTTGTCCACAAGGATCACCAAAATCAACACTAAATGAAAATTCCTTGTAGTAGCTTTAGATTGAAATGTACAATTGAAAAGGAAACTGAACATAAAGTATATAAGATAATTTTAACAAGAATGAAATATAAAGATTATTCAATCATCTTTGTTTTCCCACCTTCCTCCCTTCTTTTTGCATTTAACATTTCAGCACATTTCAGCACTTTTTAATGTTTTCTGGTAAAAAGGTCTAAAAGGTTGAAATTGTTTCATGTGCCATATTAAAAGAAACTGTCAGTGATATTGGTGTGTTCTCTATAGGAGCTGCGGTGGGTCCTCTGTTAGCCGGTGTGATCTCTCCCACGGGCTGGAACAACGTCTTCTACATGCTCATCACTGCCGACCTCTTAGCCTGTCTGGTCAGAAACACCTTTCTATCTATTGACTGACTTGTTTAATCTCTTACACCTCAATATTAGGCTTAAAATTATCTGAGATCTTTTTGTCATTACTGCTTATTCCAGTCCAGTAACAGACACCCTGACTGACACACTGTTTGTTTGTCTGTCTTCAGTTTTTGTCCAGGCTCGTTTACAAAGAAGCTCATGGTTGGTGTCGACGTATCCCCCGAGCCAGAGGGTGAGTTTAACCACCAGTAGGGCTGCACAATTAATCGTATATTAGACAGAGATGCACCGACACCGATACTGATATTGGATATTAGTCAGACACTAACTCAACGAGCTGGATTTGGGAATCGGTGAGAACTGGTCGATTTGGTACAGGATACCAGTTTTTTTTAAATAACAATTCAGTACATTTGTATGTATGTATTTATTTGTAGCATTTTGTTTTACAAAGTTACATTCATAGGGTTATTGTATTTGATTGCATTATAAATGTCGAATAGTAATTTTCCAATCTTTTTATTCCAGGTACAAAGAGATCTGAAATACTCACACAATCAAACTGGGAACCAAACAGAGAAAAGAGGGAGACGATGATGAAACTGACCTGAACTGATCTGAATGGAAACCAGTGGCGAATTCAAGGCAATGCAACTGATGATCGAAGCCTTCTTCTTATTGTAAAACAGAGAGAAATATGTTTTTATGGAGACATTTTTTTATGACTGATCTACTCATTCTAACTTGTTTTAATATTATTTTATCATTAAACGTGTACATACTGTCTGCATTTTCTTAATTTACGTCTCCTTAGTTACTTACAATACAGTTTGGTAGTACCTGCTGCTGCCAGATTTTTTTGTATGGTATTTAATAATTAACGAGTGTTGAATTGTGATCCATCTTTGAAATAGTTCAGTTCAACATTCTGGGAAACAAGATCCAATTTTGTTGAGGAGATTCTTCTCATGTAAAATATTGCAGGTCTGAAAAAAATGTTTAAAAAGTCAGCAGCACTGTTATGCAAAATTAGGAATATCTAGCATAATGCTGTGCTTAAAATGGGACAGGTGTCGGCTCATCACAGGGTTGACGCTTCGATTCTCAGCTCCTCTCTCTCATTGTCAACAACTATAAAGGTAGTAAATGACAATAAGAATATAGTAAAACACTGTTGCAGCTAGTAGGACAGTGAGAACGCACACCTCAACTCACAATGTCATTGAAAGTGAAATAATATGTTTATCCGCCCTGTGATTTGGATCTGCTCTGATGTGATTCGGTTTCTTTGTGTCCCATGCTACTCCCTTTTTTTCTTTTTTCTTTTTAAAATTCTGCTGACAAACAAACCAAATCAGATAAAAACAAACAAAACCTCCACAGTGCAGTACATAGCAAACAGCTAGGCTAGATACTTCAAGGCAGATGTATGAAATGCAAGGAAAAAGAACGAAAGGAAGTAAATAGATTTGTGTCACTTTCTCATCACCCACGTGAATATTGTTATATCAAGTGCCAGTTAAATATATCATTCAAAATTCTTGATGGTTTTCTCTAGCTGGTCTCCATAAGTATGGAACTGTTTGTGTCACTACATCAGTGTACTACAGCACTGTTAGTAATGAGCAGACATGAGTCCCCATCTCAGCAGTCTGACTCCCTATTAAGGAGTTTAAATTACCTCCAGCAATGATGCACTCAATTGCACACTTTCTTCCTGCAAGAAGAATCTTAATCAAGTCAATACTAAGGACACACTTTGTTTTCTGTTGTCATTTTGGTCCACGATGCAGCTTTGGTCCTACATGAAAACGACCAGGATGTTTCATTATATTCCCTCATCCTCCACAAGGGGGTGTGCTCTTTCTACTATCCGCTATGTAATTCCTTCAGTACCTCAAACACTAACCAAATGACATGAGACAGACACTAAAGATAAACGGTGCTGTCTTTATTAAGATTATTTATGTAAGTACAAATAGCAATACCACGACATTATGTACTCCAGAACAAGCAAGCTAAAGTCTGAATTAAAAATGTTACTCAAATAACAGTACTGAAGTAGAAGCAACAAAATGTACTAAAAGTATCAAAAGTAGGATGGTTTATTTTTATGACAGAAACTCTTTTGTTCTTAATTTATTTACAATTGACAGATCATTTTTATATTAGATTATAGATTATTAGATTATATTAGATTGAATTATTAAATAATAATAATTACTACGGAGTATAAAAAAAGAATACTTATTAGAGCAGAAAATGTGTACTTTCAACATACAGAGTTGTTTTTAAAAACAACTCCATGTACTTTTTTCCAGTATTCACTCTACTGTGTGCTTACACACGTGGACGTTTTTGTTTTTTCAGTACATGGTGGGAAGAAGTGGTTGACCCTGTCACTGCCAGGGTCAACCAGAGAACAGATGACAGCACAGGCCTCGCATTAGACACGGCAGACTGACTACAGGTAATGTATTACATGCTCCAAAATTTACATTAATCATTACATCATGTCCAATATTATACAGAAATCTGATATCCATTATTTTATATGGACATAAGATAATACTATTCACACTCATGATAATGAAAAGGATATACACAACATGTTTGAAGAACATTGTGTGTCAAAAGATATGCAAAAAAAACAACAACAACATTCAGACCTCTAAGTAATGTCTTCATTAACAACATGAGAAGAACAAAAACACTTACTCTGCCTTTGAGATTTGTTTACTCACCCCAATGGAGGTGAACAGAATTTGGTGTGTGGTGTTCAAAGCATGACAGATTACATTTGAAAACCTTCTACCGTATACCAAATATAAAATACCAAACTAAAAAAGACTTCGCGCGTAATTACGCGCGCCGTTTACATAAGTGTCCGCTAAACAATATAACAAGCCACTTGACAAATAGGACGACAATGTTTGCGAAGGAGAAAAAACAAACATTGTATTTACCTTGAAAAAGCGGACAAATCCTTCTCCAGCACGTGACACTCCCCTGACTTGTGTATTGTCCTAAGGCAGTCTCAAGGAAGAACAAGGGGATTCCGCATGTAATCATGAACAAGGTGTATGGTATGAAGAACACACCTGCAAAAAAATATTTTTTACTTCCTAATGCACCGAGAAATATATACAGTATGTATAGTGTGTCTATACATACATATATTTAACAACAACTGCTTAAAATAACTCGCCTCCGCCGTTTCTGTAGCACAGTTAGGGGAACCGCCATACATTGCCAGGTCCGATTATTGCGCCCATCACGGTCAGGATGAACTCTGCTTTATTCCCCCAATGACCCCGTTCCTCCATCTCTTTAGGCGTCTATGGGTGTCCGTTTGGCACCGCAACGGTGCAGGTGCCATTCTTTCCCTTCATGGCCGTCTTTTACCCCTTTCACTCCTTACGTTTCCTAGAATCACTCCGCAGTGCCAACTTTGCCTTGTACCCAAGACGTAAGACTTTAATTGTGCGTTCCAGCTACCTCTCCCCACTGTCAGACAAAACTGCACCGCGTGAATGAACATGAAGTGGGAATGTTGTTGGCTGAGACGGAGATTCCACAGTACTGTCATAAAGAAGGTCCCGCTGTTGCGCCGGTTTAAATACTATTTAAATATACGTTGCAGTTACGTAGATGGGCATTAGGGGAGGGTGTCAATGGAAGCTTGGAAACGTATGGATCCCTATTCAAACGTCATCGGTGTGTTGTTTGCCTTTCTTGGCTAATCAACTCAGAAGACACTACGAATGATTCAGTTCAGTATAATAACAATTCGATGAGAAGCATGCTTTAAGGATGAATGAATAACGCATGCACCACAATATTCTACTCGTATATATTGATCTCTTTGATTGTTGTATCCGGAAGAAATCAGCCGCTGAACGAGAAACCAATGCTGGAACTGACCGTTAGGTGACACTACCTCTCACTCAGTTTATCCTGCAACACGTGTTATTGCACAGCTCATAGAGCACATATCTATCTACACAGTTGTTCGTCTTTTTCAGATTCACTTATTTATTTTTTTTACAAATTACACATAGTCATTTCAATTCAATTAAACCTTTTTTGTAACGCAAAACAATAGTAATGAGAATACATTGCAACTCCAAAGAAATATATGAAATGGTATATTTGGAGGTTAATTCTTAAAGTCATTTGTTAAACTTTCCAACATTACATACAAAAACGTCCACAATAGTGAACTACTGTACCTAAACAACCATCATAGCAAATATATTAACTGATTTATTTTCCAAACAATATGTAATCAATGCCATCTGAAAAAAACATCAACATATTATTATTATTTTAGGAAAGTTACAGATAATTTGGATATTGTGCCAAATGTGGATAGACAGCACATGAATGTTTGTCTGTTTCCTTCAAAATGACTGCGAAAGTGCCCTATACCCCCTGATAGTAATATTCAATTGATACTTTGAATTAGGACCCATGGCAAACATGTACTCAATAAATAGTTCCATCTTTATAAACTGCATAGTGGAATTGGGTGCTTTGGACTGGGGCCCCCCAGGATCCCAATATATTGGTATTTTTAAAATCACTCATTAAAACAGAAACAAAAAACAATGATATAAAGTCATTGGGAACAAATTGGTTGGCAAAGTCATAAACATTTAAATGATCTAGACCGGCAGATGTCTGAGAGTACTTTTTGAGTTTTCTTTCATGCATTTAGCCTGTAGAAAGCCGTCTTTGCACATAGATGTTATTTCTAATGAAGGGTTTGCAAAAAAAATTTCAACCTGACAACTGAAAGGGCAGTAAGACACAAAGATTCCTTTGAGCAAAAGTTCAATAACAATAGAAATCACCAGTTATTGTATTATTTTATATAAATGGAAACAGGTTCCTGTTTCAGTATCATGTGCACATAATGCCTATGAAAGCTGATATTAACAGGCATGTTGCTTTACCAAAGCTATTCTTCAAACTTCACAATAGAGAAGCGTATAGTAGGGTTAGCATAATTTAAACTTCAATCTTAGACTATAGAGGGCCCAAAGAGAAATGGATTCAAAAAATATTTACAGCTCAGCTGCACTTTTGTGGTTCAGTAAGGATCGAGAGTCACTTACACTTTTGTGGACTGGAAAACCAATTCAAAAAAGTTCCAACAGTATTCTGCCCTGTCACACAACACTGTGGGGTCATCGATTAAAGGGAAGTCTAAATAGTTTCATTCTTCTTTTGGTGCTGTAAAAATTGCATTTAGTTTTGAATGTGTCATTTAAAAAAACCAAAAAACAACTAAGATAAAGTTGTCATTATTGAAGGAAAGAGGAAAAATATATAAGGTGATTCCAAACTTTTGTGAATTATTTCACTAAAACTACATCGGACAACTATACCTTTATAATGAAATGAAAATTAAAGACAGTGTTGCAAATAAAACATTACAAACGTTGCAGAGACGTTCTCCAAAAGAAAAATATGAAAAAAAGAGCCGACAACACAACATATTGCGTTGCAGGAACATTTTAATGTTGTAATAGACACGTTGCAATGTTTCCCTTTAACATACGCAGAACCCCAGAAGAAACGTTCTGGAGACTAATTACGCGTTTCCCGTCAAGATAGGTGGTTCTGTGTGCTGACGGACTGCGGCTGCACAGGAGCCGCTGAGCTGGAAACCAGTGAGCTCATTCGGGCTGCTTATGGAAGAGGGCGGGGCTCCCAGCATCATCACCACCGGCCATCGCTGCTTCATTGTACGGGGGCTGCTGCTGATGCTGCGACCGTAGCGGGGAAAAGGACGGGGTTTTTTTTCTCCCTTTAAAAAAAATAAGAAAAAAAGCATGTCATGGACACGGTTTCACGGCGATTAGGACTCCACGGGCGACGAGAATCGATTTCGAGGTACGTTAAGGAGAGATGTTTGTAAATACGGCCGTCGGTAGCTTTAACATTGTCTGCACTGGGAGTTACGGGGACTAGCAGGCCTGGTGGTTGGTTCATCTCAGCAGCTGTGCGAGATGCATATTGGGCTCGGGTTTTTTATTCCGCTGGAACCCAAACATGTAACACTGCAGCAACACATGCCATCATCGTGTAAAATAGCACAAACAAGAAAAACGAGCCCGCCCCCCCTTTTTTTTGAGCGTGTAGCATCGACTCAACCTGCATGTCGGAAGTGGCAGAGCTTGGCCTGCACGAGCAAGCCCTCCGAAGATGACGAGGATAGAGCTTGTGTAGGCTATTTTTTTAAATTATTTTTGTTATCGCCGTGGAGGCGCCATCGTGCACACGACGGATGCTCACGCTGCATCGAGCATCATCTCCGTGTCTGTATTTTCTGCGGCTGGTGGGGCTTATGTTTAGCCGTGGGCCTGGCTACTTGTTGTGCGGTGAAGCTCCCAGCTGTTGGTGATTGCTCCAGGTAAAGCCTGGTGCGCATTGTGCTTCTCCACATCAGGCCTGCGCACGGTATGGTTTGCAGGAGGTGCATTTTGTTTCTGCTTGACAGGTCATCACACATTACTGGCCATGTTTTTTTTTTTTTTTTTGAAAGGATGCTGCAGTGATGCATGCTAGTCCACAGTGGTGAGCTGGCAGGGGCCTCCAGACTGAGGCACAAGGGTCTGCAGCCTGCAACTGCCTGAGGGTGTTACACTAACCTGATTTATCACACATCACCCCCGCTAGGAAGGCATTTGTCCCACTACTGTTTTAGGGTCAGCACAGATGCAGGCTAAAGGGACTGCCCTCAAGTTAATAGTTTATAGATTGACTTACACAAGAGTTCAATAGCACACATCGATGGAGCAATGTGAAACAAGGGGATACAATTTAAAAAAACGACTGGGATAAAGTTAGATGGATCATTTTGAACGGGAACGTGAACTCAATTGTCACAATAGTGACCCTGATTCAGTCGGGCAGTTTGATTCCCATATGGCAATGATGTTTCTCTTCCCTTTTCTTTGGAGAGGTCGTGTTAATGTTGCTCCACAAATTTGTCACAGTTCGATTAGATCTGGAACTATGGCATTCATCTTTTAGTGGTCCTCTGTGATGGCCAGATGAGCACATGTGTCAGTGTTGTGTTTATTCTGTATCTACCGGCTATCAAGTGTTTTTGCATTGCTATATATTGTCATACAATTCCAGAAATGCCACTTCATGTGTTACTGCTTATCTACCATCAGTGGACAATCTCCCTCATGTAATCGGTTGTTGCATGATTTACATTTCCACTTTACTGCACTCCTTCCTTAATTCCTTAATTAGTAGAGCCTTGTTTGTACGCTGTGTTGATATTTTGACCTGAGACGGATGGATTAGAAGTCGTTTTGTTGCCTGAACCAAAAAGCAGTTAACGTGACCTTAAAAACAAGCAGGAGAGTTCTGTTTGATGACACTTTGAACCAACTTATGTCACAACCAGACCCCAGACTGATTCAACTTAAGTTGCTCATTGACATTGGGGCTGTGTCGGGGCCAGCCTGACTTACTTTTGCACACTCGTCTTGCGTAACCTGGATTAGTAAAAAAAAAAAAAGTTTCCTAGAAATGTAAGATTTTGATTGCTGGAAAAAACAAACAGTAAAATAGATGAAGTCCCTACAGGTTGAGCAGTTATGGACAGATCTTTCTGGTATATAAGGGAAAGTTTGGATGTGAATTCATGTTAATTATTCAGTGTTAATATGATCATATCATATATTTTTTGATAACGGTTTTGATAGAGTCAAAGGTTGGTATAAAACAATATTGTTATGTTTGCATCATGCAGAGTCCTTTACTGTAGGATTTATTAGACTGTCTGAGTTTCCAGTTTTTATGTAATACATCAAATCATAACCAGATTACATATTAAGAGATACTTTGCCTTTGGACTTTTTTTCCTCAAAATCTTCCCAACCCTCACTCTTCTAAAAAAATAAAAGCTCTGCAGCTACATTTGTTGAATTTAAAATGAGTTTAAATTAATGATAGTTTGTCTTTGATAAACATGATCTCATTATTGAGGGTTTGTCGAGTGAGTCATTGACGTTAATCTTGTAAACAATCAAAAATACTGTATGGAAGATGCATCGTTTCTCTTTTTTTTTATCCTGCTGATCAATTCTGACCAACATTTTGTCAACTGCTTCACTAAAGAGCTACTTATGTCTTGCCTGGCGGCGTGTATCCTCAACACAGTTCTAGAAGGCTTATGGAAGCTCCAAATATGATCCCCAAAAGCAGCCAAAGCTTATCCTAAACCTTTGATACTTACCCTAACCCAAGGCAAAGTATGGCTTGTACAATAGTTTGAGTGGATAGTGGATGACAGATGGCTGGTCCTGATATAAACAAATGTTGGGTCTTGGTTGAAAGGATTATTTTGGGAATGAAAAACTACAGAAACAAATAGCCTCTTGTTTATGGGCAGAAATAAAGATGTGCACTTTTGTCAAATCTAAACTATCTGCTGAAAGTGACCATTTCATGGCAGAACATGGTAGCTGCCTCTTTCCTTTTTTTTATGACAAAATAAATTGAATGGTAGTGAATGAGCCCGATTTGGCAAAACTGATATGATATTGCTAAATGTAGCATTGGCATGAAGTCCAAATTATCATAAAAATGATTTAGTCTTTCAAAAAGAGCTAACGTTTGTCATTAACACCCAACAAAAAAGCCTATTGGCTTCTATCGTAAGATCCTAGAGGTCCATCAGACTAAAGCAGCACGGCTTGCTTTTCTCAGAGTACCCTGCTTCACTCTGTCTGGAAAATCCAGCGCCAACACCCAAAATCAATGACTAAGGAGTCAAAAGTGGGTCATGGTTCCAGTTCAGTTTGATGTGGAAGATAATCATCATTGAACTCTGCAGTTCCATTGTGCTTTTGTCTTTTCATCTTTTGGATTGCAATTTCACCGTATCACTGCTCTAATCAATCTACTTTCTAGCAGCAGTAAGTAGCTGTTTTCAGTGATAAAAGCTCTGACACCCAATGGCAGACGGACCGAGTTAGCGACTAGCTGCTGCGGAATGTCAAATATCTAGCAGCTTGAGACTCAATTATTTATTCTCAGAAATTAATTGAAACTAAAACAGAGCAAAAGGGAGAGCAGGTATTGGTCTTGTATTGTTCAGGTGGCCAAACACATGACTCAATGTGAATGATAATGGTCCTTAGTTTTAGCTATAGTTGTATAAGTAGGCAACTGTTTGCCATCATGTTAGCTATATCAACTTACCAAGGCGATAATATGCAGCAGCAGCTGTTTCCAGTGAGGAAGATGCTACCTGTCCAGCACCAAATGTCAGATGGACAAAGTTAGCGACTAGCGTTTAGCATCTGAAAGAGCCAAATATTTCCCTGAGGAGTTGGTTGAGACCAAAACAGAACTAAAAAGCCTGGTTATTATTGGACTTTTATCAGTAGTACAATGACTCCAAATGAATGCTAATGTTGCTACGTGTCTGATGGATGTGTAGGCAACTGTTTGCTAACAATCTTTTCAGATAGTAACATGTCAACTTTTTAAGAGCTTGCTCCCAGTGACCACAGGGAAACAGGCATCTCTACTGCAGACATGCAGCTAACTTAGTCATACCAAGAAATAAAGACACGGTTGCGTATACAACCGTCAAGTCAAAGTGTGTAAATCATAATAGTTCAGCGTTCAAGCCCCTTTATGATTTCTGAAAACCATGCAGGTAATGAATGCATTGTTTTGCAAAAGTTCCCATTTTAGGGCAATTTAAATTATTACAAGTGACGACAGTGTTGTGCATTATCTGCTTGACCGGCTCGCTAGTTCTTAGAGGAATAACGTAACCAGCTTTTGCAAGATCCAGTTCTTCAAACCCTTTCTGGCACGACAGGAGCAATTTCATTAACTTGTCTCAGTCTTTGAGATTTCTTCAAAGTCCATATAAATTGAGTTCTGTCAGATGGTGCCATTTCTTCCTGGAGAACTGTAAAAATAGGAATATGACTTTTTTTACTACTACAATTCATCATTGTCTTAGTGTCTGATTATATGTTTGCTGCACATGTTTATTTGCTAAATGTTTGCAACCTCTAAAAGGAAGATACGGTCTATTAAACTGCAAAGAACATTATTGCAATGTGCCTAATATGTGGCTGAGGTTGATCAAGCTCAGCTTGCAATGTAAGATGCTTTAAATCCTTTCTTTCAAAAAGAGATATCTCCTGCTATAACTTCCTGTGTCGAGATTAAATCTCTTCACATGCACAGTCTGATGAGTGAAGAGAGGGAGTGATAAACGGTGAAAGTAATACATTAAAAATAGGTTAGATAGACAATTGAGGCAACATCCTCTGGCTGTGTTACGTTCATTTGACTAGCCAGCAGATTATTTCACGGTGCAGGCTGAAAATGGAATATGACGGTAATAGGATTGACTCAGGCTCACAGCAAATTCATTTCTAGTTTCTCCCTTCAGAGCAGTACCAGGCTGCTGCGGATGGTTTGTAGGTTAATATAGTATTAGTAGTCATCTGTGTTGTGGTTGGCTTCGCATGATGGTGGTGTATTGAGATGGTTGTGTATCAGTGAATCATCACTTTTTCTATGCTAATTTTTGTACAGATTGTTGCGTAGCTTCACCAGCCACAATGCAAATGAAAATACAATAATAATAACAAAATATAATATGACTGTGACTAACAATTAATTTCATTATTTTTTAATTCGCCAATGACTTTCTCAATCGAAAATGTCATCCAATCAAACGCGACCTTGGGCGACTAGCTATCGACACCAGTCATTTAAAACCACTCTTCACCATTTGTGGATCATAGTAGCTAAAGTAGCATTATGGAGAGATAAGAATAGATTTGCGTTTTGCATTTTTAGCAGTCCAATCAGATTTAAATCCATCTCGTAACTGTACAGAGCTGAAATATATTCCATTTCACTGTGAAATAGGTCACAGTACAGAAGTTAAACACGCTCTAACATTCGTCTCACTAGGACTTTGAGCAGTTGTTAATGGATTTTCAACATTTATGAAGCAATTGTTACTAAAAAAGAAATGACAAATACCAGCCAAAGGGCTTTTTCACAGCCTTTTCCAGAATTACTCGATGAGTTCTCAACCAATAAGAAACTATTAGTTATATATTTTATACCCTTTATAAACGGCGTTTACATCAGAAAGTGGTACCAAATAATAATTTGTAAAAAATTAAAATGTATTTTTAGAATTAGATAGTTGTATATTTTATGTATAAAAAATTAAATGGAATACCTACAATTTAAAACAAAAAAAAACCTGAATTATGGTACTAGATCAGCACCAGTATGTTGAGTAACTAAAGTAACTCTCCTGTATGATAGCTTTAGCTATTTGCTAAACATCCCCTTCATGGAAGGTTTGCTTTGCGTGTTAAAATATGAACCCAAATGTATATTTACAGGCAGTCAGGTGGAGGTGGGAGTGCTGAGTGAAACACATGATTAAAGCACTTCTCTCTGGACTCATGCCAACGCTGTCACCATATTCATTATTTAGAAAGGCCTGGCTATCCCTTTCAGGATACTTTTAAGTTTCCTGACTAGATAACCCCCCCCTTTCTTCCATGTAGCTATTTATATATGGTTTCCTCTATGTCCTTTATTCCTCTACACTACATAGGCCCTTGTGAGGCTGACGTGTTTTGCGTCCTGGTAAATGATGAGCTATAATATTGTGTTCAACCATTTGAGTAAGTATGAAAAACACATTTGTACCATAGAGAATGCATCAGTCTTTCTTATTTTTTGATGCTATGCAAATCTACGACAGCATTAGGAGAAAAAAATGGTTTGATTCTCGACTGGGACGTGTCACGTGTCAAAGTGTACCTGAGCAATACACTGAACCCCTAACGGCTCCCTGGGCACCTGTCATTGGCAGCCCACTGCTCCCTATATATACAGGGATGGGTCAAATGCAGAGACAAATTTCCCCCTTAAAGGGATCAATATAGTATAATAAATTAAAAAATTAAAATTATGTCTATTCCTGAGATTAAAGACACCATGTGATAACACAGTTCTAATAACAGAATTATATGCCAATTAGATACACAGACATTTAAGCTACAACATTAGGTTATGCTATTTGTGCTGATTTAGTCGTTTTAATTACTTTTGACTCCATCCATTCATTCACTTACAAGCACATTAATTATGTTATTAATGAGGTAAATCAACCATATAGGCTCTTTCTGCAGGCCACGCGCCACGATCTTGTGCACATTTAATCTTCTTCCGCTTACACTGTTCCGATGACCAGCTTGAGCCTAAATGCCTTTCTGAATATATGTATGGTTATTTTGTTTTGCATTGAAGAGCTTCACTTATTTACTTCACCCCCGGTTTTATTGGTCAAGCTAGCGGAATGGTTTTAGGTTTGACAATGTTTGTCGGTCGGTTGGTCCGGCACTTTGTTCCAGGCTGAAATATATCAGCAACTGTTTGCTGAATTGCTGTGAAATTGGGATGAGATTGGGTTCATGGTCTCCAGAGGGCCACTGTGGTGATCCCCTGACTTGTCCTCTGGCAACACCATGTGGTTGACATTTGTGGTTTTGAGTGAGCTTTCACTACAACATTTTTACGATATATTTTCAGTTCCATGCGTTCTTCTTCCTCGTCAAAACCTTGTGCCCACATTCCCCAAAATGCAACTGCAATGCTGACAGGTCAGTCAGAGATTCAGGTATGTTATGCTATCAGTGGCTAATGTAGCCTTGAGCTTCTAGCCTCAAGCAGAGCTGAGTAGAACATCCTGAACTAAGATGGTGAACATTATACCTGTTAGGCTCAAATTGTTTTCTGATGTTTATTAGCATGCTGACATTAGCATATAGCTCAAAGCACCGCTGTGCCAAAGTACAGCCTTCCAGGGCCATGCTGGCTGCAGGCTTTTTGTTGTGTTCACATTTGGAATTATAACCGTCAATCTGCTTGTCATTCGTCGCATCAGTAATCTTTCACTATCACCTCTTCTCAACTCACCCTGACAAACACACCCATACGTGTGGAAGCTAGTCCGCACATACCAAAAGTCTCAAATTGTGTCACCTCTGCAGCCTGCACTATGTCTCATTCTGTCTTTCTTTGTCTCTCCTCCATACCCAAGCCCTTTTTTTCTGATAGGAGAATGAGGAAGAGGAGGAACTGGAAACCACTGGGAGCGCCTTGGGAAGTTTCTGTGAAGTCTCAATGAAAGCACTAGAAGAGCCTCTCTAGTATTCGACTCAATGGCCAAGAAAGGGCGTACGAAGAGCGAGAAGCCCGAAGCGCTCATCTCTGCCCTGCAGGCAGCCAATGAAGATCTCAGGTCCAAGTTGACTGACATTCAAATAGAGCTACACCAAGAAAAATGCAAGGTACTGTAGGCTACAACATCAAAATACATACATTTTTCCAGAATATTTCAAATATTGTAATTACAATTTAAGCTCAGTAGATTTAAACCTTGATGCTGCTCCAAAGTTTAAATCATACTGGCTTATAATCTTTTTTAGAAAGCTACTTAATAACTTGAGGTCCCAAAAAACTATGAAATTTAAAATGCAACCTTTACAGCAGCCTTTGGACACGTTGCACAGCGTTAAGCTGGGTCTTGAACGTACATCTTATGACTTGTGACACCATAAATGACATGCTTATTTTCAAGGTGCCCTTCATGTCAACAGTTCAGTTAATGGTTAAGCTCTTTAGGCTATTTGTGTACTGCATTGTACACTGTGCATCCATACAGTTAACTGTATAATGTCCCTAAAGGAGTTAATTCACAGCCACACTAAATAACACACTTGCAATGTTAAATATTGGTGTTGTACAGACAGTAAAGCACATGTTGTACAGAACAGCATGTTTTGCTCAGTCTGCTGTATGTTACGTCTAGAAAGCTGTTAACATGTCACCTCACCTCACCTCACAAGAAGACACCTCTTTTACACTTGGTACATTATCATTGTCATTATCACAAACATTGTTTTGATTTTGTGCTTTGATTCATGGAAGTGAGTTATCCTCAGGGGAAATGATGATTTGTGGCCCTTTTTTTAAATGTTATTTGGACTTCACCGCACTGGGAAGTCTGCAAGTGCCGCAGGGCTGTCCAAATGCACAATTCATCAAGTCTACAAGGGGCCCCAAGCAAACTCTCTGCAGACTTTCAGAGAGTCTGCTTTGGGTGCAGACTTCACTAGACCATGCTGGGAAGATTACCCAGAGTTAGTGACGTTTGGATTAAGCCTTACTTGTAGAGGTTGTTGGAGGACAACACGGCTTGAGAGGAACACAGCAGGCATTACTCAGGGCTGATAAAATCATTTGCTCTTTGTTTTATTTCCAGTTAATGTCGTAAAAATTTCAGTCAAACATTGGGTAGTAAAGGTACAGCATGAAGTATTAGATCAAGAAAACTAAGCATGGTTGTAGTGTACACAGCATTTATTATTTTACCATTATTATGGAATGAAATATTATTATACCGGTAATTAGATATTTCCCAGATTCATTGAAATGCATGTTATTGCTTTGTCCAGGAAGTCATGTGAAAGTTGGTTCTCAAAAACACAACAAATATTAATAACCTTTTAACCACAACTAAATCCGTTAATCAAGGAAAATAAAGATAAACCAAAGAGTCAAATCTTCAAAAACAATGACTGATGGCAACCTGCAGTACAATAGTAGGTATGCTGGTCATGTAAAAATATTCCAATTCCTCTCTCATCCTCCTCTGCCACTCCTCTCAAAGGTGAGCAAACTGGAACGCGACAAGCTTCAGGAGGTGAAGCGGGTGCGAGAGCAGGAGCAGCACCGTCACACCGCCATGTTGACAGAGCAGCGGGCCAAGTGGCACGAGGAAAAGCAGAAGGAGCTCCAGGCTCTGAGGGAAAACCTAACACGACAGCATGAGCAGGAATTGGCCCGCCACGCCAAAATCAAGGACCAGGAGAACCAGAGGCTCAAAGCCGCACTGAGCGCCATGCGCGATGGCAGCGGAGAGAAGGTGAGGTTAACAGAGGGCAGTGAAGCTCGAGTATGATTCTGCAGTCGTGACACAGATATACAGTAATAAACAGATACTTTCCACCCAAATGAAATGTCGAAACAGCAGCTGTGGATGTAAACCAGGACAGAGCGGACAAGGCAGTCACCTTCACTGCTGAGAAAAAGCTCCAGATGGGGGGGAAGCACTAGAAATAAATTCTCATTACTCACCTTTTCGTCTCCCCAGATAATCTAAAAAAACAACCTTGTAAGGGTTGATGTACACAAGCTACATCAAAACCCTTCACCTCTCTCTCCATCCTGCGTCTTCAGGTGCGCACAGCATTGACCCTGGAAGCCAAGGAGGACGCACGCCGCTTCTTTGACCAGGAGCGAGTGAAGCTCCTGCAGGAGATAGTGGAGCTGAAGAGCACAAAGAAGCAGACCGATGAGGCTCTCAGCAACATGATCCAGTCCGACAAGATGAAGGCTGGCGACCTGCGGGTGGAGCACCAGCATCACCAGGAGCAGATCTCCAAGATCAAGTGGGACAGTGAGAAAGACATCCGCAGACTGGTAGGCACAGTCACTGCGACTAAATTCTTTACAACTGACACGATTGTGACCATCGTATTTTTATATCAAAATCCAATCACTTTTTTTTTTTTCCAGTCCTCTGTACCTTTAAATCCCGCTACATTCTAAGGCCACTCACTTTTTAGCGGCCCAATCAAATGCAAAGGATTAGATTTAAATCCCTCTTGTAAATGTACACCGTTCAAATATTCGGTTTCACTGTGAAATACGTCACAGTACAGAAGTTAAAGACACTCTAACTCCCGTTTCACTGGGACTTTGATGGTATACTACTTGTGTACTACATTGTACACTGTGCATTCATACAAAAAAAACTCTTCACAAGAAGCGAGTAATGTCCTTTCAGCAATTTCTGAAACACACCATCACTTCCTCCTCCTTCCCTGTAGGTGGATGAAATCAAATCTAAAGAACGCACCATCTTTGGTCTGGAGAAGGAACTGGAGTCAACGGCGGGTTTCCTACAGAAGCTGCAGCTTCAGAAGGACGCGCTGGACGACCAACTGTTCCTCGTCAAGGAGATGGAGTGTGGCCTGGGGAGCCCGAAGAGAGAGATTCCAGGCAGAGCTGGAGATGGAGCTGAGCACTGTAGTAGCCCAGTAAGTAGAGAGGCTTATCAAGGAGAAGATCCACTCATATCAAACGTTAATAACAAATTATTTACATGAGAGAAGAGAGAGCCTTCATACATCTTAAGCCCCATTTTTTTTCTTTGCTTTAGCCCTTGAAGCTAAAGCGCCAGTGTGCCGTGACTAGTTTTCTAACGCATGATTTGAGCAAAGGAGACTTGTGTAACCACATTTTAGCCATCACTCATATTTATCAAAGCAGCTCATGCTGACTTATGGCAGTCGGAATCCTGAACTAAAACTGAAAGCACAGCGTCATCTCAATCGTCGTATTGTCCCCTTACAGAGGAGCCATATGTACAAACGCTGAGCTTTGTCCTTGTGTGGACAGCTGGAGAGAATTGAGAGAGCAGACTCTGAAACGAGTGCATGCATGGTCTGGATTGCATGATTAAAGGTTGGTTAAAGCGTGTCAATTCATGAGCTGTCCCACTGTTAATGTGACCACTCATGGGATTAAGTTATAATGTCCATGAGATGTGAGCAGATTACAATTAAAGTTTACAGATATGGTAATCATGTTGGCTTCTCGTGTGTGAAGTCCACTTCTTGGAACATGTTAGTAACGCTGAACTCCAACTTGATTTGGTAGTTTTGTTACAACTAATAGAATTACTGAACAAAATATTTAGTTGTTGCACTGTAGTTGTTGAAAGTGATGATGCAACATTCTTCATGGTATTATACTTAAATAATGTATTTTTTCCCCCCTAGTTTTTGATTGAGTTAGTGAAATGATTGATAGTTTTTTTGTTTATTTGTTTGTTTAAGGACTTGAGGAGAAACCAGAGGCGCCTTGCTGATCTCAACTCGACCATACGCAAATTAGAGGACCGCAACTCACTGCTGGTCGATGAGAGGAATGAACTGGTACGACCAAATTATTTCGTTAAAGATGGATCTCCTGCTCTGTCTTCCTTCTGTCACTTATCTTTTCCTCAAATCTCCCAGACTCAGTGTCCCCCTGTCCACCATCCTCATGTCGGTAACAATACATCCCTGTGTCCATTTCTCCCCACCAGCTGAAGCGAGTTCGGGAGACAGAGAAGCAGTGTAAGCCAATGCTGGACAAGAACAAGCTGCTGTGTAAGAGGAATGATGATTTGACTCAGACGATCCAGAAGCTGGAGGATAAACTCAAGAACCTGGCCAAGGAGAACCATGAGATGGTCAGCACAGTCACATTGTCATCATAAATAAGTGTAGTTTTTTTTTTTGGGGGGGGCAATAGGGACAGACTGATTTATAGGTGGATATTGTAACTTTAGAGGACTTTCCTCTCTTTGTGCTGTTTGTTTGCAGAAGGAGAAGATCAGCTCCCATCCTCCGCTGAAGAAGCTGAAGTCTCTGAATGACCTGGACCAAGCACATGATGACCAGGAAATTGCCTTTCTCAAGCTTCAAGTCCTGGAGCAACAAAGCATGATTGATGAGCTGACGAGAGTATGTTGTTGTTTTTCATATAACGTGCAAATTATCCGGTTTTTGATCAGGCAGTTGGGGTCATGGTGTTTGATCCTGAGCTCATGTGGACATTGGATGCTTTTGTACTCTTCATAAAACACTGTAGTAAAACATACACAGTATAGTGTGAGACATCTTATTTCCATGTTTTTTTTGTTTGATTAATATATAAAAAAGTGTAAGAATTGAAGTTTTTCAGATGATGGGCGACTGTGATGATGGGCGACTGTGGCTAAGTGGAGAGCAGGGCCGTCCTTCAATCAGAGGGTCGGCGGTTCGAGCTCCGCCTCCGCTAGTCCATGTCAATGTGTCCTTGAGCAAGACACTTAACCCCAAAGTTGCTCCCGTAGCTGTGCCTACAGTGTATGGATAGAATCTGAATTATAAGTCGCTTTGGATAAAAGCGTCTGCTAAATGACTGTAATGTAATGATTAACTGTCTTAAAATTCGTAAAATTCAATTTTTGGATGTTATTTGCATACCAGTGATATTCTGCAGCCGAAGACAACCTGGACTATAAATTACCACCACTTTTGCTGTACCAACTAAATGTACAATGCACTTGTAACCAGGTACCCTGTGTAGCTTATTTTACAAATATGATATAGTAATATCCTTAATGATCAGACCGTAAACACAGAGCTCATGTTGGAGAACCACATGATAACCTCTCAGCTATTGACGTATGAAATTGGAGTTAGAAAAAGCAACATCATATGATGCCTAACGTCTTTAATGAACTGTGTGAAAGGTTGTGTTGTCATTGAGGTTGTTTTCTTCTATTTGATTTAAAAGAAGGAGAAGGAAAACAAAGATCATCTTACAGTGGTGGGTTGTCTTCTTTCCATTTGTCTGTTTTTCCAGGACCGAGAAAAACTACTGAGAAAGAAAAGGCATAAAAGAAGTTCGAGGCCAATAAAGGTAGAAATAATTATATGTGGTTCAATCTATTTATCTTTGAGTGTACTCCTTTTGGTTAATATTATATAATACCGGTAAACACATATTCAATGTTGATATCATTTTTCTAGGCTCTGATTGTGCCACAGAGGTGTGTTTAGCTGAAAACAATAATGGAAAAGGAAAAAGCTTTGATGTGATGTTAACAAGGCATATTGATTGTTGGACATTTACCATCAGAGATTTCTAGACCTGTAAATCTTTCAACTTCTTCTGCAGAGGCACATCGTAGTAGACACCTTCTTTGGGTATGATGAAGAGTCTATGGACTCAGAGACGTCTTCGGTGGCTTCGTTCCGGATGGACAGAACTCCTGCTACTCCAGATGAAGACCTGGAGGAGGTGAGGACTTGCCTCATATTCGTCACAGCAACTACATTTGCAATCGTGTCTACATGTTTTAAACTGTTCTGTTTTGATTCAATATCCGTTCAGCTACATCTGCAGAGGCATATACGGTCAAACAGTTCAGCCATAGACTCTGACCTCTAACCTGTGTGTGTCAAACAAGGGTCTAGCCAACGAGGAGTCGGAGCTGCGTTTCCGTCAGCTGACCAGGGAGTATCAGGCGTTACAGCGAGCCTATGCCCTGCTGCAGGAACAGAAAGGAGGCATTCTGGATGCTGAGATGGAGGCTAGGGTACATACACAGTGAGAAAATCACTGTTTTTTAAATTTTGTATTCCTGTCCAATCTATATTATTAACTCCTATTGAGTTTGTGTCAGTTTGTTATTGTTATTATTTGTTGTCTTGCACTGCGGCTCAAATTTCTGTGAGCTGGAGCAAGTTAGAGACATGAAACGTTGCCCAAGAACTGGAAATAATGTGCAAGTGCTTCACAGGAAATATCCAATTAAAAGAAACGCCCCCAAAAAAGCCGCTGGGATAATATAAGTTCTCCTGACTAGATTTTACACCTAAACCATAGGTCTGATTGCTACCAAAATGTCTGTGGTTCATCAGCACATAACTAGACCAAAGTCAACCACCATTTGGCCAATCATCACAAAACTTGCAGGACATGTCCACAAAAGTTTCATTCAGATCGATCATTAGGGACAGTAAATCAAAAACAGTTAGGTTAGGATATATCATCTGACAACAGTGAACCACGTTTGTAAAACTATCGCTCGATTTGCTTCATATTTTCGATTTGGCGATTGGAAGTGGTTATCTTGTGTTTGTCATGTGTTTTGTCCTCATAAAGATACATTTTGAATTGATTATGTAAATTTGGTTAACATTGGATCCGTGCTCTTCAGTTTCTTCCAAATACCATATTTCCCTGCGTATTAAATCCCCACGTGTACTTGAAGCTGCCAACAGCTTAGAATCTGTAATGTTATCAGGGCTGTCCTGATAGAAATGATTAGTGTAAAAGTCTAATGTTGCGGGCAGGTTGATGGTACATTCACAGTCAGATCATAGGGCTGCTTTAAGGCTGTGGAATTGAGTATACATAAATATTTTTCCCCTGCAATACCGGCACAGACCCCCCACTTGAGAAACAGTACCCTAGTGGCTAATGGAAGTCCTTACTTCATTACTCATATTTCAGGCTCAGGAGCAGCTCCAAGCAGAAGTTCTCAGGTATAAAGCCAAAATAGAGGACTTGGAGAAGGAGCTGAACCTGAAGGGACAGGTAGGACACACAAGTACACGCGTGCATGAAGGCAAATTATATGTAGGGTGGTGGACAAAACAACAGGAATACCACACAATATATAATTATTAGCAGCACACACTGAAAAAATGATATATAAGAGGGCAGCTTGACAGAATAGGGCAGAATTACAATGTTCACTCTTTGAGTTGATACAAAGGACTGGGTTATGAAATGTGTTGTAATGTGTTGCATTTCAGTTCCTCATTAAGGGCAAAATATACAGCAAGAAAAAGATTGATGAAGAGACACAAAATGTTTATTTGTTATCTTTTAATTCAATGTCTTGGGGTTCCTCCTGTCCTCTAATGAAAGTAACACGTTGTTTCACTGCCACGCCATCACTGCAAATGTTGAGTTTATTGTTTTGCTTAACAGGGGATATCTGTCTATGCATTAAGTGTCTCTGTCCTCTGTCAGGACTCCAAATGGGTGGAGGAGAAGCAGCTCTTCTTACGAAGGAATCAGGAGCTATTAGACAAGGTTGGACTTTAACCGTAGTTTTATTTCCAATAATCAAACGGCGTCAGTCTTCCTTAAGATGTTTGTGATTGCACCGTTCAAAAAGTATCATTCAAAGAATTTTGATTTGTCAAAAATATATTTATGTCATTGTTTTTTCTCGTGATTAGTTTCTTTCTTCTGTGCACAGCACTGGTATTATTTTAAAATAGCATTTAAAATTCCCTGAAAATCTATGATGTTTTTATCAGTTTGATTACACCTGCTACAGGTGGTACATTTGGTGTTTAGCATTGTTTAAAGCCTCACAGCTTTGAGGTACTTTCCTACAGTTATGACTTGCCTAATTGCCACTGTATCAACAACATATTACATAACATACTGACTGTAGCTACAGTCTAAAGTTCCGGACAGCTGCCTCTTCCTGTCTAATTAATTCTGTCTCTCTTTGTTGTCCAGATGGAAAAGATGGAGTCAGACTGCAGTCGACTGCAGCAGGAACTGCAAGACTCCAAAGATCAGAATGAACTGTTAGAGTTCAGGATACTGGAGCTGGAGGTGAGTGACCTTTCCTTTGTTACAGTAGCTAAGTGGAAATCCTATCGAGCTAGCCATTCAGCCATGTGGACAAAATGCCCGCTAGTCTGTCAGTCAGGCCGATTATTAGCTGACAGTGGTCTTTGCGTTTCATCTGTGCTGCAGTGCAGATACTGACGGCAGCTTGGGAGGGCCTAAGCTGCCACCTAGTGATCAGAGTGGAGAACAGTTCGCTCAGATGTGCTCAGTACACTGGTACACTGTGATTTATCCCTAAATGATATTAAAGGCTGTTATCGCTGCTTCTTCAGAGTAGCAATTTGTCTGAAATATGGGTAGTCAGCATTTTCAAGGTTGAACAAAGCAAAAAGCAGCACCTACTTAAACTTAAACATCATCATTAAGAAATAAAAAGTGCACAAGTGGGAACAAGGATTGTTCAGGGAACAGTGTGCCTGTCTGAAGGGGACAGTCCAAAACAAGCCAGTGAAAGTGAAAATACAGTTTCATCCAGGTTTAAAACAGAGTCAAGAGAGACTCGTGATGAAAGTTTCAGTTATAGTTCATCCTTTGTATCATCTAATGTCTACTTTTGTTGTCGCAGGAGCGCGAGAGGAGGTCCCCTCCATTCAACCACCTGAGGATGCATCCTTTCTCTGAGGGAGTCAGTGCTCTGCAGATCTACTGTATGAAGGAGGGGGTCAAGGTACGCAGTGAGACGGACTCGTCTGCTTTAATTATTGTAATTAATCATAAAAGCAAGAGATACCGCTGTGACAGATCCCACAATTCTTATGGCCACAGCAAACTAGAGGCTGTGAAGATTCATGTTTTAATTGCATGCAGTGTCTTTTGTTTTCGTAAAGGTTTAATATCAATGGACTCTGAACATTTATAGTGTCAAGAAATAAAAATGAAAGCTAAAGACCTTTTTTGTATTCTGTTTTCTTTACAGGACGTGTGCATACCTGATCTCATCAAACTTCTAGATATCCTGGGAGACAACGGGGTAATTCATTTGGAATTCACAAATCAACATATGATGCCAAAACAGACCCGTTATTAATAAAAGTTGTTTTTTTTCCATTTTTGTATAGAATTTAAGAAATGAAGAGCAAGTGGCCATTATTCAGGCCAGCACTGTTTTGTCGCTAGCAGAAAAGGTACGTTTGGAAACCACATCATGGTTCTTCATACAACACACAGAATAGTTGGTGCTGACTCAGGTTTTGCTGTTTGTTGCCATCTAGTGGATTCAACAGATTGAGGGGACGGAGGCAGTGCTGCACCAGAAGATGATGGACCTGGAGATAGAGATGGTGAGTCAAAACAGTCCTGTGTTTTTTTTACAGGATTTTACCTCTCTGATGTCATCAGTAGCCTCTGCTTCAATATAATATTACTTTCAGTGGCTCACATCAGCTTTAGTCCAGTGTGATATGATTGAAGCACTTAGACCTTAGTTATAAAATATTGTATAATATAATTATAAGAAGTTTATTTTGTATAGCACCTTTCATAGTACACAATTTAAAGTGTTTTACAAAAATATGATATTATGAAAAGAAAAAAACAATAAAAAGAAAAGAAAACAATAAAAAATATCAGTAAAACAGATGTTAAAAACACACAACAGTTACACACACTGTGCAGCACAAGGTGACACAAAGGCCAGTTTAAATAAAGGAATAAAAAGTAACCACTGTCTCTGACCTGCTTGTTCTGTACAGGAGATGTTCTGTAAACAGAAAGGGTATCTAGAAGAGGAGCTGGACTACAGGAAACAGGCCATGGACCAGGCCTACTTGGTACGTGTGTGTTTGTGTATCCTGTATGCATCACTTTATGGGGCCAAAATCTATTCACGGTCAGATTGTTGGAGCTCAATTCCTATATGGAGGAGACTCATATTCAGGTCCTCACAAGATTTCAAATTTATTTTCCAAGTTAAGTCTTGGTTTTAGTGTTGTGGTTAGAATCGTGACATGCTTAGGTGAAGGTTTGGGGTTATGCATGTAGTAGTTATGGTTAGGGTTGAGCCTGCAAGGAATGTAGTTAAGTTAATACAAAGTTGTACATATTTTTGCGTGTCTGACCTAGCAAGCAATCCTGTCTTCTCCTCTCTACAGCAAATCCAGGAGTTGGAAGCAACGTTATACAACGCCCTGCAGCAAGACAAGGTGCTTCCTGTCACCACATATTACTGACTTATTGTTATGAAAGCTACGGTCAATTTCAAACACAAACACAAATTGTTTTTTAACTTGTAAAACATCAGTGCGAGTATCTTAAGTACTAGAGGGGTGAAGTTAATGAAATCAAGACATCAATTTAAATATCAAGAAATGCGTCATAAAATGTTTTTATTAATGTGCTTTTGACGTACATCCTTGTGATTATGCACATCTGGAATATTCAGTCCACGTGACCAATTTATGAGGTTTATTGCAGATGAATTCTCGAATGATTATAGAAACTTTACAATCATAAACACAGATCAGAGAAACAGAGGCTTCCAGGAAACAGAACAGTCTTATTTCTTTAGAGCCTCTGCTGACACAAGGTGTGTTCACATAAGACCATTAGTACCCGAGATAAGTGTGTTGAGAAGTGTTTTTATGCCGCAGACAGCAGCGGGCATTATGTTAACGGTCATCCGTTCTCGTGAACACTATATCTCAGGAACGCCTTCTTCAAGTTTGGCTCAAACGTCCACCAGGCCACGAAGCTCAACTGATTAGAATTTGGATTTTATTTTTACCATAATTCAAGAATTGATATGCTATTTCTGACAATGTCCTATAAATGTCTAATAGGATAAAGCGGTGAAGTTTATTTTGGTGTCCACTGTGTCTGATGCCTGTCTTCTTCCCACAGGTGATAAAGTACGGCGAGCCTCTGGATGAACTTCAGAAGGACGAGCTGCGGTCGTCGGTGGAGAAGCTGAGGAGGCAGATGCTGAGGAAGAGCCGGGAGTACGACTGCCAGATCCTCCAGGAGAGGATGGAGCTGCTGCACCAGGCGCACCAGGTCTGTCTATGTCTGTACCGGTGATTTATGTGTTTTGTGTGTTTCATTTGAAATCTCTCTGACAGTTTTCTCTGTGAATATTTGCAGAGGATTCGTGACCTTGAAGACAAGACGGAAATCCAGAGGAGGCAGATTAAAGACCTGGAGGAAAAGGTAGACCATGTTTCATGTCTTTCTGTAAAAATAAAATAAAATACGTTCACTAATTAAGCTTGAACACAAACTGAAATGCTACCAAGTTCATATGTTTAAATGTCTTTGCTGATAGGCAGCCAAGATAATGGAATTGTGAAATCAATCTCAAATTGAATTTTGAGTGTATTTCTGTTCTATTTCTTTTCACATTATGTTCATGAAAGTACTCTTAAAATGAAATATGAAATTCTATTCTTACATTCTCTGTACAGTGAACTTCTGCTTCTGTCTCTGCTGTTACTAACATATCTTGAATGTGCCTCTAATCCTCTCACTTTCTTTGTCCCTTCTTCATCTCTTTCTGCCTCTCTCCAGTTTTTGTTTCTGTTCTTGTTCTTTTCTCTCGCCTTTATCCTTTGGCCTTGAAGTCTTTGGCGTGTCCTGTAGCAGAGGTGAGTCCTGAGGGCTTTGAGTAGAAAGTTCAGTCCACGTCCGTCTCTCTTCTGGACCTCGGTCAAATACTTTTCCATTAAAGCAGAACCTGCGCAGCAAGTGTTTTGGCTTTCTAAAAGCTGGGAATACTCTGGCTGTTGAACCTGACTCACAAATGCATTTCCTTAGCATTAGTAAGACTTATGTGCTTATGACCTACCTGATATGTGCTTATGACCTACAGAATATAAGCAGGTCATTTATTGTTATTTTTAAAAATAGTTTTAAAGTAATCTAATTTGGTATTTACTCATCATAACGATCAAATGAAACCAGATTTAAACAAAAACAGTCATTGTTTATCTGTAAATACTGCAAGTCATCAAGTGAGAGATGTATTGATTGTACAATAAAGTCGACACAAACCATGTGTCAAAATACTCATCTTGGCCCGTACTTAATCCTCAGAATAACAGTGAATATGTAGTTGTTTTGAAAAGGAACAACAAACTGACTAAAAACTGTGCAATGGCGACATTTTGTGACAGTCTGCTCTTTTGTTGTTATCTCAATGTGACCACTGGGAGGATCCGTGCTCTCCAGAAGCACAATTTATTTGACCCTGGTCTGCTCACTCTCCCTCCTACACATTTAGTAGCTTCACCTTGCATTCACTTTGAAATACTCAACTGTCATTCCTTCTTTATCTTTGCACTCTCAATATATTTCCACTGTGGCATTTCTGTTAACCTTCATGTTTTCTTTTCCTGTATTTCATCAGCACATCATCTTTACTTGTTGAAAGGTTTCCAGGCAGCTCAGAAAGCAAGCAGTGCCATCAACGTCATCATCTCTCCCTCTCTCTATTGCATGTGTTTGTTGTCCCCTCTTGGCTTTTAACCCATGTTTCTACATGTGATTTTAAAATGATGCATACAGTCTTTGCAAATGGTCTTGCAGGAAAATTCGTTTCTATTTCAGCCACTTGGGGGCAGCGCAACAAGCTTTGAGAACAACACGGGAAGTTATTGTGTTATTGTGTTATTGCTAATTTGTTTCACATCCAGCAGCTACAGAGGACCACTTGTTTTCGCCTTTTAGCTCTTGTTTGGTCTTCAACAACATCTGAGAAAAATATCTGGCGCTTTAGCATTCAGTCATGTCAACATAAGACTGTAAAGTATGAAAACAGTATGGATTACCTCAGAGTATACTCTACCAATTAACTTCCAGTTGTTTTAAAGAGTGTGGTTTGCTGAAAGATTTTCTGAAAAATTGCTAAATACTACAATAATACAATATGAATTTTAAACCGAACAAAATCTGCAGTGTATGTTAAATTAAATTAGCTTTGTCACAGTACTTTTGACTCCTAACTCTTTGTGACCTCTCTCTCTCTCTGTCTCTCAGGTGGTGTGTCAGCTTGGAGATCTTGTTTGTGACTGCAGTGTTATTTATTTTCTGGACAAGTGTGGAACAAAGTGCGTAGCAGTGGCTGCTAGTGTCCTCACATCAGTGACTGCTGTCAGTATAGGTGGATGTGTCGTGTGTTGGCTGTGGACGTTCCACTTCAGATTTTATTCTTTTGTTTGTTTTTAAATGGGGCTGGGGTTCTCAGGATACTGCACAGGATGACGTTTTGTTTTTTTAAGAGCGGTGTTGGACATTAAATGTCTCTCCAAACAGCTGGGAGTACACTGCACCAGGCTGCAAGAATGACACACAATTAGTGAGACACTTCCAGTAGATGCAGAGACACAGACACACATATACCAACGTACACACAGTTTACAGACACGCATGCATATACAGACGCATGCAGATGCAAACACACTCACACACACATGCTTTGACAAATCAAAACCAAAGCCTGGGAAATGTTCTCTCTGCCATGCAGGGTAATAATATGTCGTTCACCAACATTTAGCCACCGCGGGAATACAAACGGAGAGAGCTACTGATAGACAACGAGACAAACAAGCCACCGGACCACAACTTCTCTCTTCTTCTCTTCTTTCCTTTCCAAAACCCGGAAGGACGTTCTTCATGAATGCAACCTCTTGGTGAATAGAGGCGAGCCAACTCAGGGGCCACGAGTGCAGAGGCCAGTACTGGTCTCAGGTCAGATTATTATGAGGAACACTATGGGACATGGCGAGTCACCGGGCTGGCCTGCCCTTGCTGTTTTCAGAATGGTGCTTACACACGCTGCTTGGACTCTCCAGAGGTTAAACCTGGGGAAAGGGCAGAGCTGCGCTGCAGAGGCTGGTGTGTAGAGACACTAAAAGGGGGATACAGGACACTCAGGTTGAGGCGTCTTCACCGGACAAACATGACAGACTTGCGCGGAGAGGTAAAAAGAGAACAAAAAAGATCACGGTTGGAAACGACAACGTGGATGTCCACCGATTGTCAAGACACTTCTTTATTTATCTCAAAAACGAGCAGACTGTAAGAGCTTTACTCTCTGGTTATCTTTCTTTTTAAATTTGTTTTTTTACACCTCCTACCACCAAGATACTGTGTCCCAAGATTTCCACTGAACTACATGCTTATTCTGTACTGTAATATATACATTTGTTGATATGTACATGTCGCTGAAGTATTTTATTTAGTCTCCCCTTTCATTTCTGTGAATAGTTGCAATTTTATTTTACTCTCTGAAGCAGCTTGAACAGTTGATGTAGTTTATAAATGACTAAAAAGGGTACGCATTGCTCTGTTATATTGTGGTGACGGCTGCAAAGATGAACTTTATTTCCTTGAAAATTATAAATGAAAAATCGCCTCCCTTTTCTTTTTTTTCTCCCTCTATCACACACATAATACTGTATTTATGAATCTTCTGTCTAATAAATGTTCTGCTCTGTTTGGCCAGCAGGGGGTGCTGGTTTCACCTGAGCGACTTTCCATTCACCCTTTAAAGTTACACAATCTTTTAACAAACTTGTAAATATTTTCAAACTAGCTTGCAAAATATCTTTATCAACTCTGGTGGGATGGTTGACAAATTCAAATCTAGCAGTTGTGTCATCAGTACTTCCTTGATGCACAAAAAAATGGATACAATTTAAATTCAACAGTTGAATTTCATATGACGGAAAAGACGGAAACAATCATAACGCCACATTTTTCTGTCCCAAGACCACTGCAGGTTCCCCTGTTTTTTTACTAACAAATATGTCTTTGATACTAACAAGCCTCTTTCACAAAACACGACTTGCCACTTCCCCAAAATGAAAAGGGAGAAAGTGAATGCAACACAACACCTGCTCTCCTGTCAAGCCAACTGCCCAGGCACTGCAATATTTACTAGTATAGGCCGTCCTTGTTCCCTATGTACCTGAGCTGGTGTATCGTCCACCATACCACCCCTCCATTCACAGGTCTAGTGGATCAAGGCATCTCATTACATAGCGGACAGTAACTATGACCCATTCACTTTACCAAGGGGAATGACTGAGACTATTTTTGTGCAGACTCAGCTAACTAGCAGTTGCCTTAAATGCATTCCCCCCCCCCCTTTTTATCCGCTTGTATGTTCCTTTTTAGTGATTATTTTTTCAGGCGGTTGATATCAGCATATAATGTAATGTGTGTATATATATATATATCTTTTTTCTTTATTTCACAGAGGAGTTCTTTTTATCTTTACCCCGTCTGTCTTCCAGCGAGACTTCAACCCTTCCTCCTACTTTCGTCTAGATTATTACAGAAACAGAAAAAAGGAGCAATGCTGTAAAAAATAAAACAAAACATGGCCTTGGACCTTAAAGAATAAATTGTCTTCTTTTTGCATCTTTATTGCAGGTATGCTTGGTAGGGGTTTTGTGTTGAAGGTGAGCATTTCTAACTATAGTTACTAGTTAAAGTTAAAGAATAATAGTAACGGTTTGAGACATTTTTCTCATTTAGTAATTTGTCATATCAACAATTCATTCTTTAAAGAAATATATTTTAAACTTTTTTAGCAAGTGGATTATTCATGAGCTTGTCTTTCAAAAGTCTCAACACAAAGTCCACTTAGTAGCTTTCCTGGAGGTGTCAATCGTATGACATGATCTTCAGCAGCATCTTATTGCTGACTCCTGTCATTGTCTATTAGTGGTTGTCATTGGTTGTCCCTAATGGGGCTCTGCTTTCTTCAGGTCAGGAAGAGGGAAACAGGCTATGAGCTCAGTATCTGTTATTCTTCCATCTGATATGCGCTGGACACACGTTTCACTCAATGCACAGAAATAGCAATAGCTAGTATTTACTGACGGGTCAATAGTATTGTTCAATGCAAATGTCATTATTTTCTGTGATTCATTCATTCATTCATAAAAACATCTCAAACATACTAGGGCTCAGCGTTAAACATTTTAAGACTTGTGATACATTACGAGAATCATAAAACCTACACTGAAGCAGTGAAGGCTTCAGTAGTCTCACAAGCTTGTTTTTCTTTTCTGTAATGCAGGACACAGAGCTGGGTCAGTCCAGGATAACAGTCGGTCTTTTCACTTTAGTCCTGACTCCTTGCCAAGCCAGAAGAGAACGGGTCGAGCCAGGTTTTGAGTTTTAGAGCAGTCCATCCAAAGTATGTCTGTTCTGAAAGCACTTCTATCTGTCCTCAGCACCCACACAGGTCACTCTCAGAGGTTAAAGTGTGCACTGAATATCTGCCTTTTCTTTTTAAAACGCATCCTGTGAAAAGAGTTTGTGTGACATTTTTATTCTGCATGTTTCTCAGTTTCTAAACACATAATACCAAAAGACATTGATGTGTGTAAATAGAAATAGCTTCCTCTGCAGAACATCTACTGTAGATGCTTTTTCAGCACAGAACCTCAGCTAAAACCCTTTTGACACAACTCAGAAAAGGGTTGGCAGTTTAAAACTCATGTTTTAACTATATCGGTGCACTCAGTTGAATGCAACAACCACTGCTGTATTGTGTGATTTACTGAATACAACCCACAAATGGCCAACCCCTCGTCTATAAACTAACGTAACAGACACTTCAATCAAACTCAAAAATAAGTGGCGATGTATGCAGGCAAAGATACATTAAACTCAATAAGCTAATATAAGCTAATACAGCTGTGTGTCCGGCTCGTTCTGTTGGCTGTTAGAGGTTAGTCAAATGAAATATTTTTGCTGCAAGACAATGCAAGATTAGCAACAGACACTCACTCACGGACACACGTGCACATGCATCCGTTAGCATGATCCTCCTGGCGGAGATGATTATGAGTCATTAGATGACATGAAAACCCTTGTGTCATAGTTTGTTAGGAAAGCCAGCCTCGCTGTAAGGGATACACGATTGAAATGTCTGACAGTACATCCTTGGAGGCTCTTAACCTTATTTCAGCAGCAGCTGGTCAGCAGCCAAACCATCCCAGGCGGATGCAGCTGCCCAATCTGCTCTGTTCAGCTGCTTAGCAACATTGACTTAATGGCTCATGTTAGACTGGTGGCTCACTTGGTTTCTTCTCATCTTTTTGAGCAAAAGTGAGAATAATGATGCATTTCCAGCATTGAGACTAATAGCGCAAAGCAGCTGAAGTGTGTTTTCTCCTGCAGCTTTGACCTCTTGTTTTCCATTCCTTTATTATTTGGCTACATCAGGCAAGTCTTGAATGTAGGCCTTTGTCTTCGCTCTCTCCTGATCACCCTGTGCATGTTGCCAAAGGTTCACTCCTGCTGGTGACTGTGTGCTACTGCCCTACTCCTGCTCCCCACTGCTGTGAATAACAACGAGAAAGGTTTGCAGTCTGGGTTTCACAGTTTCTAATAATATACAATAATAAATTAGTGTCATATAGAGGCCAGACAAAAATTAATAAAATGTGAGGGCATGTAGTTGTACCCTATTATTCAACTGGCAGACTGGCTGAGATGTTAGACTCAAGAACAGGTCTGTTGTGAGACTAAACATATTTATGGTTGTTTCCCTATAAGATAAATCTTTCTGTGTACCTATAACCAGGTGAAAAACTAATTATTTAGACAGACATACAATACTCAACACATAACAGATACATAGAAATAACACAGGAAGCAATGGGACCATCTGTGGACGGTAATCTTTTTGTCTTTAACAGTTGATAACAGTACTTTCATTTCATTTCTGGAATTGGGTGCGCCGATGCATGAGCTCACGTGGAACTTGTCAGACTTTATGCATTTCCTGTTTGAATTAACTCCTATTGACTTGCCTGTGGAACAGTGGCCCACTTACCTACTTCTTCAAAGGTCTCGCTCGCTCTTGCTGCCAAATCTATGAAGACTGGATTCGCCTAATCTCTGTGCTATCTGCCGTCATTCCATCATGCCTAGATGCACATGCACTGAAAGCCAGTGGAATCGTTAGAGCTGTATAGTCTTATGGGGGACATTCATTCAACTAGCCGGCCTACCTTACATCCATTTTTAATATGTAGATGGGGGGTTGTCTCCTGCTTTCTTCCAGCATCGCTGCTGTAATTGCTTTAAAAGCCTCATTAGGTCGGAGCAATTTCCTGTTAGTGAGCATCTTGACCATTCATTCACTCAGAAGGTGCAATGCCAAATCTTTGGTCATTGTTGGCTAAAAAATACTAGACGACTTACCCTGAATACATTTTCTTGACTGGATGTTTTGTTTGTCTGGTTTGCAGCTATCATGACACCGCTGACACTGAGAACCAGACAGTGTGAGCTGATGGCTCCACTGCCTCCCAGTCGGTCTGCTCTGTCCAGACCACAGTAAAACAAACATCTGCACTAGCCTCCGAGCACTGTCCTTGTTCTCTCACGTAATATTTAACCCTTTTTCAAGTCATCCAAGCTGGTTGGTGTCAGTGTACTGCGTAGCCAGCCAAAGCACAAAGTGTTGACATGTAGTGTAATGATGTCTCTGATGTTTTGACCCCCTTCTCTCAGCATGATTTACTGTCTAAACACAACACACTGGAGGAAAGGACAGGACAGACAGCCCTAAAACACAGAAACTCTGTAAGTCAACATAGAAGTAAAGAGGCAGGGAATTTTAGCGGGCTCTTGGCATCTCCGCAAACCTTGATGCTTTAATCACATTCATGTTAGGGGAAATTTCTGCCAGCCCATCAAGTTGCTGTGCTGGATGCCAACAGAGCCACAGGAACTGCGACAGTGGTATTCAGCAAGGAATATGTGGAAATAGAGCTACTTATCATATTTTACTCAGCTTCAGTCCCCTGGAAAAAATCCCCACTAAGCCATCCTTTCAGAACATAGTGCTTGATCACCCCCCCCCCTTTCCCATCTGCATCTCGTGTGCTTTCTATGAACGTCAAAGAATCTGTAAAAACAGGCAATATCAGCCACTATGACACAAAATAACAACAACACATGTAATGCACAAAAGATCAGAAAAATAATGACATCTTCAAAGCAACTTACATTTGAACGAAAGGGGAAATGGTGTGCGATACTGTATTTATTTATAGCTTTAATTCCTTTCCTGCAAATTAGAATTTTTGCCGGTTAGATGTTCCCCTTTGGCTTACAAAATACATTTTTGAAAGTTGAAGTTTGGTTGCCATGCATGGGCCTGCAGAAGCACGATAGGAAAGTCCTGGATGCCGGCTCAGACTGACGTTCCCCATGAAGTGGACCTCTGTCTGAAAACAACCAAGGCTTCATATCAGTTGCTGACAACCTGTTAGGTGAGAACTGAGGCTGTAGACTCTGTGATTTCTCTATACAGCCTATGGGACTGACCTTGACACTCTTACACATCTCTGTGGACTCACACAGGCACTTGATCTGAAGTTTGCTTGTTATTTCTAATCAAGCTGATGAAAATTCTCACCAAGCCTCAACCTCACAGTGAAACAAACACATCCTCTTACTGTAGACTAAACTAAACTGCCATTATTCTTTCAACTTTTAATCCATATGCAATTTAAAGTGGGATTTAAACAGTACACAAGGTAAAAAATTTGAATTTTGATGTGATTCTACTTATGAAGGCTAGTAATCAGTGGTAACCGAGTATGGTTGAAGTAATTTTAATTTAAGTATTTTCTAGCTGGTTTGTACAGGAGCAAAATCCAGAGAAATACCGTGTTTCTCCTTTTGTGTTTCTCCTTTTGTTTTTAACCTTTTGTTTTTAACCTTTATCGGTGAAAAGAGGTAGGGAATGTTCTGGAGGGATAATAACACAAACAAAAAGACCCAGTGAGTATACTTTGGCCCCACTCAAACTTGTGAAACGTGCTGATATATGGCCGTTACATAATTGCATTCCTGTTAACTCGGTGTTGACTCCTGCTGACTCAGCAGTCTCTCAGTTTGAGACCCGCTGCCTGAAAGCTGCTCGTCTCTCCGCGCTGCTGACAAGATCCTGTCTCATTTGTGCTGGCGCGTGAGTGAGTGAGTGATCCCCTCGGGTGGTGTCGTCGTGGAAGACCCAGACTAACACACACGCACGCGGAAACATCAGCTTTAGCCTGCTTTGAGTTGAAGTGCTTCCGCCTATAGCCAAGGGGTTTGAGCGGAGAGAGCAGGTGGAGCTATGGTTACATGCCAGGCGTCTTTAGTGGTGCTGAAAGGACAGCGACGAAGTGGACAGCTCCGGCCGCACCTTGGAAACTTGCGCTACCTGCTGAGTGCGCACCTGAAGCCAATCAGTTGATTTCGATATCAGCTCGCAGATTATTGGAACTTCTGGACATTGGGCTACTTTAAGGACGAATACAATAGTTTAGCTTGTATCCAGAAAAAATAAACTACAACAGAAAGGAGAGGTTTCGGTATTCGCAGTAAAGGTATACGTTTTTTAAAAGTAAGTAAGCCGACATGTTTCCAGACAGATCTCAGGCCATTTCCATTTGAAAGGGTCCCTTGGTCTACCGGCCCTTTGCTGCTAATTTAAACTACAAAAAAATCTAAATCCACAATCCTGCATATATAAAAAAAGAAAGTCATTTTAAAATCTGACAGAAATATAGTACTCTGCCACCTCTAGCTTTAAGTGAACTCCTGTCTGCCTGTCAGCTCAGGCTTCTCCACAACACACACACACACACACACACACACACACACACACACACACACACACACACACACACACACACACACACACACACCCCACTACCACTTCAGCACTAGTTTAACCGTCTTTCTCGGTCACTTGTGCAGCGCTCCACCATGGCGGAGCGCAGGGGAAACCGGGACAGGGCAGAGGACGACCTGCCGGTTTATCTCGCCCGACCCGGCACGGCCGACCAGGTGCCCCGGCAGAAACACGGCGGCTTGTTTTGCAGCGTCGAGGGCGCATTTGAGAGTAAAACAATAGACTTTGATGCCCTGAGCGTTGGCCAGAGGGGCTCCCGCACCCCGAGGACCGCCAGACGAGAGACCGGTCCGGAGGCGCAGAGCCCGGCGAGTGACGACACGATCTTCCCTGGTGTGGACAGGCGAGGAGGCAACGTCTCTCCTCGGGTTGAGATCAGGACCAGCGGCAGCAAAGAAGTGCTGCAGGACCTGGGAGATGAAAAGGTAAGAAGACTGCTACTTAGCAGACTGATGCAGTAGGCTAAATGACAGGAGTGGTTCCTACTGTCACTATTGTGACTGTTGTACTTTTTCTCTTCTGGTACCAACCTTTGGTTTTTTTTAAAGTGTGGTGTTCAATGCTTTACTGCTGAGCAAAATAGTTAATTAGTAATATCAGAGAATAATATTAAAGTCAATGAAAGATGGAGAGGTAGGACTGTACAGTCTTGCAACCTTTTGAAAGAGCAAAAACACAGTGTACACAGTGCCTTCCAAAATGGCTGGGAAATGAGACATTGTTACCATCCACTGCCAACTTTCATCAAAATGTGTTTGGCTTGTATAATTCTTAAACTCTTGAAGATTACTGCAGGAAAATTCAGCCAACGTATATACACATTATACTGAGGGGAAAATGTGTTGCCCACATTTTGACAATGCCTAGGCCCATTAGAGCAACAAGCTAAAATGTAAGACAGTGACATAAGCTAGAAAGGTACAGAGAGAAATCATCGTATGGCAATGACATCCAAGTTTGTATATTATTGAGATGTGCATGCATAGAGAAGGTGATATTATTTACACACCAAATGCAACTGATAAATATGAGCATGTCCTCTCTTTAAAACCTGCAGTATGTGTGCAGTATAAAAAAGAACACAAAGGTTTCTGTAGCATTTACATCTTAGTGGCATACTGTATGTTTGTAAAAACAAATTCAGAACAGCGTAGAAACAGCTGGTGCATCTGGCTACCAAAGGAATGCAATCAAACTTGAAACATGGCGTGTAAACAACACGAGAGCAGATTGGCACAATAGATACAGGTTGTTGTACTGAAACAAAAATCCAACTTTTTAAACTTTAACCTTCCACTTGATTGAATACACCACTTTAGACTGTTGTTCGAGGTTTTTGATATGTTGCATAAAGCCAAAATGTGTTTGACGTTTTGTTTTCCTTCATTTTGAGTGAAGGGTTTCCGACTTGTTCAGAATGTTGCCATTTTGTATCCAGCTGGCTGCAACGGTCTTCTTTAGGTGATGCTAGTTATGTTCCATGGTGGTTGTGGCTGTTTAGAAGGAACTGCATGGTTTGTAAGGTGTGCTTTTTACAAGTAGTAATAGCAGATGTAATGGTAAGGAGCAGTAGTCAGTAGTATCATTAGTAGTAACACATGCTCAGTATCTAAACTAATAATGTTCAGTGTGGGTCAGTAGTGTTGTGACATGTTAAATACTGGAAACATATATACTGGATAGGAAAAGCACAGGTATTGATTATTGTATTCAAATGCCCCAGTAAGTCATGACAGTGTGACCTGGACCTTTGAAACTGAAGCAGCAAAATGGAATCCAACCATCAATAATTGTAATCTTTGCTCCTGTGCTTTTCCTTCTGTGACATATCAAAATGTCTTCTTAAAAAGACAAGGTTTAAAATGTTATTTATTCCTGCAGAAAACACATTTCACAATCCTTCCGTGTTGAAATCAAGAGTAAAACTATTTTTTTAAGCGGTTCAAGGCCGTAAACTTTGTGTGGAGACACTTTTAATAAAGATAATAGTTCAAAGTACGACAATGCCAAACCTAACCTCCACTTGTCATCATTACACCAGTTGTGACTATGACATTTGTATCTTATTCCAAAAGTGTAGGTTTTAGGAGTTTTTTGGCAATTTTTTTGAATAAGGAATAAGAAGTATGGGCTATGAAGCAAGCATTAAGTATTTACTACACACGCTTTTAAAGGGCACTTGTTTTGAGCAGGAAAGTTATGTTCTTCTAAAGTCATACTGAGATCACTGTCTGGGCACCAAAAATTAGGATTTGTGTCTTTCTGGCTCTGGCACACACACTCTCACAGTTTTGGCTCAGAGGGAACTGACATAAAAAGAGAGACATCAATTACAAAGATCATCAATCTTTTTTGTTGAATGCTTAAATACTCTTTCATGCATGATGCAAGTTAATGTTTCTAAAACTTGAATACTGCTTGCTCCAAGTCTAACCACATAAGCAAAACAAGCCTGCTGCTGTTTCTGCTGCAGGGGCAGATCTGCTATCGCCCTCTGTTGTCTCCCACCATTGAGTCATTGGAGACACAGCTGCAAACAGAAGAGTGACAGAGCTCCTGTGAGACAACAAGTCTAATTCTAGGGGACTGATTGAAGCCACGAGACTGTTTATTTGAGAATATTGACACATGATCTAAAGTAGAAATGACAAATGTTTTTTTGTCTATTTAGTTTGAAGGGTTTGTCCTCATCATTTACACCTCAGTGAGTCCTGTGCTCATATTGATTCACCAGCCTGACAGAAGACAGTTTGGAAACTGGGCTGTGCACGCACCCTACCTGACCTACTTGAATCCTTACATCATACCCTACTAATCCCCCCCCCCCCCTGAGGTTTGATACTGAACTGCAATATTGCACCTCCTGAGGGACCAGATGATTCAGCTGAAATCAACAGACATAGTTAGACTGTGCACATTTTCTGCTTTGTTTGGAAAGTGTTTGATGACATCAGACTGACAACAGAATCAGGACATGCTTACTCTTCTGACATTATAGTCTGGATGCTAATTTGGCTTAACATGAATCTCTTTTTGCAAACTAATGACAAGTGGAAAAGATGACCGTTTTTGATGTCCGACAAGAGTGTCTCTTTTTCCGAGTTTCAAGTTCACCAGTTTCAATTTAAAGTTAGTTGACACTAATCAGCTGTAGTTGTTATGTTTGTTCATTGTTTGCGTTAATGTGTGGTTATTTTATGGCTTTGGTTGAATAATTTAGATATTCAATAAGCTTGTGTTGACGTTGTAGTAATCAGGTGACAACCTCTAGTCCTGAAAAGTGAAGCCAATGCTGAAGTGCCTTTAGGTTGCATTTCTTCTGACAGCCAGCAAGGGGCGACAAAGAAAATGAACTTCCCACTTGAGTTATTACTACCTCAGTAAACATTGTACACAGGAGTTTATGGTCTCATCACTAGTTTTTCACAAGTCTTCTTCAATACAGCTTGATCTTCATTTAGTAAATGATGGTCCCATTAAGAGTAAAATAGACAATAAAGCAAGGTATGCTTTAGGGCGTGGCTACCTTGAGATAACTTATCTTATGATTCAACGCTAAATAAATTCATTGCATTTATTGGTGGTAATAAACAATAACTATCATGACTGTTTTATTGGTTTCCTTCTGTCTGGTCAACTGATAAGTTCGATCAGCTGCTAATGGACTGAAGAGTGGGGAGTGGGGAGTGGTTAGCCAGGGTCCCAGGGGAGCTGGTTGGGGATGGGGATGGGGGGGTAACATCCCCTTTGTTATCCTGCAGGATGGCGGTCAGATGGGGAGGAGCCCTTTATACACTTACATTCACGCTGAACCACTCAAACAGTAAACCACATACGCATTGACACATTGAAACTTGCCCATACACATCTATGCATGTGAGCGACAATAATACGTTATGTAGGCATCCTTCGAGGTAATTATTAAAGCTGCTGTAGTTAAAACATTACCTTGTAATTCTGATTCACAGAAAGAATCTGGAAGAGAAGAGAGCATCAGTAGTTTAAGGTCCACCAATTTTACACATAATGGTCAGTTTTGGAGTACTGCTCAGCCTGTAAAAACAGTTATTACAATGTGTTCTGTTTGGAGGAGCTTTGTCTGGTCTGAGAAAATAACCCTGATGATGTCATTGTGATGCCAAAATAGCGCAGTGAGAAGCTGCACTCACCATTGTCACTTACTAAGTTATCTGGCATCCTTGCAGTGATCACTTGTAAGTAAACACGACCATGCTAATGAGTATAGGTGAGAAATGCCATTTAATATGATTTCAGGGTATTGAAGGGAATGTTTATCAGTTCTCTCTTCCATTTGGGGCCACCTGGTGCTTCTTCTGCCGGTGCAGCTTTAATGTCTTTTCTGCATCCTTGATCTGTCTGCCCCCTGTCTGTCTATCAGTGTCAGCTGGTTAATGCGGTCTGCAGTGGTAGCAGGTCTGCGAACTTGATGTGAGTTGTTGATGCATTCTCCAAGGTCTGGGAATGCTGAGGTAATGCCTTACTGCCTCACGGCCATGAAAGGACATGTCAGCATGCAGGCGCTGCGTCTTCATGCTGCCAAAAGCAGGAGGAAAACAATCAGTGGCAATTAATTGACATGAAAAATAGATCAACTTTTGAAACATAGCTTCTCCCAATATATATAATGTATGATTGTAGAGTAAAGTTCAGGGTGAGAGGGTATGGCAAACACACGTTTGCACACACACTTAAAGCATCAACACAAAGAGATATTTTATATAATGAAACCTAAAAAAAAGACAAATTATTCAATGTCTCGTTTACAAAACAAATCATTTAAAATCTTTTTAATAAACACTTTTTATAAGCCTAAAGATATGAGATGAATCACAAATAAAATTATTTTTCAATAGAGTAATACAAAAGGGGACATTTCATAGCTCAAATATATTTAACTACGACTATCTATCTTTCTTGAAAACAATGAAAACTAAACAAGAGTACGGTTTTCTAGATGATAGTTGTAGTACACACACACACACACACACACACACACACACACACACATACACACACGTACACATACACAGGCACACCCTCACACACATGTCTCTAAACCTCATTATGGGTGCATTAGTGCTGAGGAGGGGAGTGGTGGAGGAAACGGCCGGTGGAGTGCAGGGGATCCACTTTAGGTCCAAACAATAGAGACACATGGCTGGGTGGGGACAAGCAGAGGGTGTGTGTGTCGTGGTGAGTAGACATATGGGGTGTGCAATGTGGTGGGCAGTCTCTGTGACAGCTGCTACACCATTTTGCGCCTCCTCTGTGTACACAAAAACAAAATCTATAGGTAATTATGTGTAAAGATGTACATTGTTAACCTACTTGAATCTTATATTTTTATATAATATTTCTTATGAAACAAAAAAAAGTGATCCTGAATTTATAAGGAGTTATGTAC